CTGACCTTGGACTCATTCTGTAGCCTAGACTACCTTGAATTTGCAGTGATCCTCCTGTCTCAGTTTCCAAGTGCTGGGATGACAGCCATGTGCCCTCCTTGAGAATTTTTAAAACTGTGAAATATGGACAAATACCCCACAGCTAAAACAAGAAAATACTCTTACCTGTACCATATAGCATACTCCTTGAAGTAGAAATGTTGATAAAGCTAAGCCCACTTATATCATTTGTGTGTTTTGATGTAGAAAATTCAAAAAGAAAAAAAAACCTGAAGCTTCTTCTATCCACTTCCTGATTATTCAATCACTTCTATCAGAGATAGAGAGAATTAGGAGAGGCTCAATTGTAGGACAAAATAAACAGACAAATGTCATTCTGTCCTTAAAAGAGCACCAACAGTCTTGTCAGATTATAATATCCACAATGTATTCATCGTGTTGAAATAGCACAGGCTGTAGGTTAAGTAAATTTTCCTGCAGGAGTTACCTGAGACCTAAAAATTATTTCAAAGTTTCCTCCAGAATAGCACTCATGAATACTACATGTCAGGAGGGAAAGAGGCAAGAACAGAAGAGTTTGAGTGGTTGAAGGCAATCTGAACTAATAATTTTGGAGGCTGACAGAGCAAAAGTTGGTTGGAGAAATCTGGTAGGATTGCTGGTAGTTCTGAAGGCTCATTTGAGGTCATGTCTGTAAATTTACAGTGATAATAATCTACTTTATTGGAAGACTTCTCAATAGTTCCCAGCTACTTGAATGCCTGCACAAAATTGGATTCCTCCAAGACCATCACATAGTAAAAAGCTAAAACCAGACAGTAAGATCTATGAAAAATTAACATGATGTATTATGAAGTTAAATCATAAAGGAAGCAAAGCAAAGAAAAAGCTACTGGTTTAGAAAATTATATATTCATCTAGGGGCCATGGATCCTGATAAGATCAAAGAATCACTGAAGTAAAAATTCCTGGACAAGCACCATAGAAAGAGAGGAGGCCAAAGTTAGAGAGTGGGAGGTTTGAGTTAATGACCTTGGAGATGGTGTAGGATCTTCAGTACATAGGGGACATTGAACGTTCAGGAAGTAAGAAATGAAAGAAAGGAAAGGAAAATTGCTTTCTAGAAGAGCAAGGTTGGATAGTGCAGGATTATTATAAAACTAACTTCACACAAGGAAGACGAAATATACCCAGTTCTGCAGAAAAAAATACATAATTGTGGGAAGAAAATCCTGAGTCAGCTCTAGGATTCATTTACTATGACTTCAAGGCCGAATTGTAGGTAGCCTTCTAAAATGAATAGCCTGCAATAAATATTCACAGTATATTTACATTACCATTGATCTGATTATTACTTTGATCTCATGGTAGACATACTCATTTCCTCTCCTTTATTTGGCTTTCATCTTATTTTAATAAAAATATATTACCCTTGGCTCATTCAATCCGATGATGCTAAGAAACATCATATTTTTGATATGATAAGGAGCATATAGCTGGGTATAGTGGCACACACCTGTAATCCCAGCACTTGGGAAGCTGAGGCAGGGGGATCTCCATGAGTTCAAGGAGTTCAAGGCCAGCCTGGGCTACATAGTGAGTCCAAGGCCAAGCTGAGCTACACAGAAAGACTCTGTCTCAAAAAAAAAAAAAAAAATAGTAGCTGTAAAGAGAACATCACTTTCCTTGATGATATCACTTGCACATCAGCTAGGAGTGTCTCTGCCCCTCATGATCCAGATCAGATGGCACCTTACCTCCCAGTCCCTGAGACTGTGACAATCTAAAGCCTGTCCCTGGCCTCTGACAACTCTTGGGACATTTGTGACCTCATGGCATCCTCTTGTTTCCAGTGGTCTCTTCTTGGCACTATGTCAATATGAATCACACCTCTTTCACCAATTTCCACCAAAAAAAAAAAAGCAAAGAGCCTCACTTCCACCAAACACTCATGAGCAGATTCTTAAAGAGACCCAACAGGAAGGGAGGGTACAGCAAGGATTCCCATGCTCCTGAGAGTGGGCTGTCTGCAGTCTCCACTCAGCTGTGCTAGTCTGCATTGCTACAAGTAATGTAGGTGGGGTCATTTCTCCCCACAACCTCAGCAGCATCTGTCAGGTTTTGAGCCCTTGTTGAAAGGTTCCTACCCTAGAATAAATTATTATACAGTTATGGCGATGGTCTAACATGGCAGAGACCAAAGTAGGGACACTGCCCTGATGGCCACTCTCTCCTTCTTCCCATTCAGCCCAAATTGTTACTTTCTCATTTGTGCGTGAAGAAAAGTCCAATCAGTTCCTCAAACATCATCAATGCCTACCCCATGACTTTCAGTCAGAGGTCATACAACCCTCTGCCCCTCTGTATGCAATCAGAAGAAGAAAGCCAAACCCCGCGGCTGTGGGCTCCTCTCTGCATCCTCAAATAAATGGCCACTTTCACTTTCTCTCTTCTTCTGCTTCTCTATTGTGCCAGAAAACTCCAACACTTGTTAATAGCTATTTTCGGTGGGATAAGGTACAATCTCAGTGTCATTTCAATCTGTATTTCTTTAATAACCAACGATGCTGAACATCTTAAGTTTATCAGCCATTTTTTCTTCCAACACATGTCTGTTCATTAAGAAAATGTAGTACACACATATATAAAACTCAGTCATAAAGAAGGATAAACTTGAGTCACTGGTAGGGAAATGAATGGATCTTGAAACCACAACACTAAATGAAATAAGTCAGTCATGGAAGATTAAATATATCATGGTTTCTTTTAATATGGGAAACCCAGAATATACATCATCTAAAGAGAAAAATAACAGACGTGTTGAAAAAAAAAAAAACAGGCAAGCAGTCTGACCCGGGGAAGAGGGAGAAGAGGAGTGAGGTACAGGGCATAACAATGGTCAAGGTGAGATACATTTCAGCAACCCAAGCTTAATATAACCATGATATATTGCAAACATAAACTAATAAAAAAATTTAAAGGAAATTCAGACGGGCATTAAGTAAACAGTCTCCACCAAACACTAGTATTGTCCCAACATCCCTGCTGCCCGTCCTGAGGCCAGGGCTCCTGCCAGCAGCCACCTCCTCCCCACGCTTCCACTCCCTTTCCTTCCCTTTTCTCTCTTATGTTCTCTCGCTGCCCTTTCCCTTGCTAGGGTGTGAGACAAGTTCCTGATGCACAGCTTCCTCCCTTCTCTAAATCCTCCCCACTGCTGAAACCCAGCCTGAAGACTCTGCCTTCTAACTTGGCTATATCTTCTAACATGAATGAAGCCAGCCTTAGGTTAGAGACTAGATCCCAAACCAGGTCTTCACTCCCCTAGCTGGTAGCCTGGACCACATAGGGCAGCCAAGGACCTGCTCAGTTGGGGTCTGCAATTAGAGATGGAGGGGGCGTTAGGAACATAACAAGAATAATCTAACCCAGAGTAACTGAGCTGGGAAAGATAACTTGCCCTGAGTCTAGTTCATTTCAGGCTACAGGATTTAAGTCTCACGCGTAGAGGGTACCAGGGCCAGCTAGCACCCTGATGACTTAAGTATCCCCTGGATCTATTCTAGGTCTTATGTGAATCTCTCAGAGACCCTGAAAATTTCACGAAACGAGAAGAACAGAGACACTATAGGACTTCCCAGAGAGAAGCAAGCTTGTCCTGTACTATCTAAGCCCCCCACACAGATTCTTTGATCAAGAGGCCAAAATGATGCTCCTGCTCCATCTAGGGCAGGATTTTAGGCAGAAGCCCCACTGGTGGAGGATCCATGCTGACTCCAGGCCACCACTGCAGGTTAACTACAAGTTGATCTCATGACGATATCAGATTGCAGAATCCACCCTCCCCCCCATGATTCACCATCTCTGGAGCCTCTGCTGCTCAAGGGAACAGGATGGTTGGGATGTTTGCTTCAAACACTAGAAAAAAATAGCTCAGGAATAAAGTGGGAGAGTGGGTGAAACCAGTCCAAGGAGAGGGGGAGAGGAAAGGTGCTGCTGAGCCAGATCCACAGGCCCATCTTGAAGGGGAAGGTGAGGTGCATCTTTCTTTGCAGACGGCGGAGTTCTCTGGGTCTGGAGATAAAAGGGCTGGGCAGTGTCGAGGAGGGTGGAGAAGAGATCCTAGCACATCTGAAGACAGCCTACGGGGCATGGATCTACACAAAGCTCATCTGGAATCCAATTCCTACTCCCTACATTACCCATGTAGCTTGTTTCCTTCTCCCTCCAGAGTTGAGTCTCCCTTTTGTGACTCGAGTTCCTGCACACCCACAGCTGTGTCAGGCATGAAGCTGCAGGGACAGAGAGAGGTTGGGTGTTTCTGACTCTCAGTCCCTGGGGTGGTCCCAATGTAGGTCTTGGTCCTCGGGTGTGTTTTGACACCTGCACCACCCTGGTTCTCTTTGTGGAAGTGTGCATTCGAAAGAGGAAGTGAGGCTGCCTAGGAAGCAGAGACCTCAGCCCAGCTCCAGAGAAAGAGCCCATGAGACAGAGAAAGAACAACCACTAAGAAGCAGAAGGGGTCCGGTGTCCACTCCAGAGGAGGTGACCCTGCCCTCTCCATTGTGCTCACACCTCTGCAAGGAAACCTGGAGGAACATCTAGGCTGGGATTTGCGGCAGGTCTCCCATAGGTGAAGGGTCTGTGCTGGCTTCCGGCCACCACCACAGCTCAGCACAGATCTGAGTCCTTGCGTTTGGAAGAGGTTTTTACTCCTCTGTGCACATCAGCACAGATCTTCTCAGAGTCCTTTCTCTTGGAAGAGGTTTTTACTCCTCTGGTGGCTCCAGGACTAGCTCTCTCTAGCACGTGGGTACCTGTTGCTTAAACTCAACACACAGGACTTCAGCCCAGCACTTATCCCAAGCAGAACCCTAGGCATTCCAGCTTCGCCCAAAGCTGCTTCCCAGGACAGTTGGAAACACTTGTAAGTAGGGGTCCCTCTCAGTCCGGCCTCAGCCCCTGAGCCTCAGGGAGGGTCGCCAGTCACCCGCGGGAGGTCTCGGCACGCCTGGCTGTGGGGAAATTCGGCTTTCGTCAGGCGGCCGCGCTCACAGAAGCCGCGTGACGCGGCGGGCAGCAGGAGGGGCCGCGGGGACCAGGCTCGCCGTGCGCTTCCCGCCTAGGGCTTCCCTGGGCGGTCGCCAGCCCAGTTCCGCAGCCTCACGGGCGGGAAAGGGGGCGGAGCACAGCCTTTTGTGGCCTGGGAAGGCGTGGCAGAAACCTGGAGGCCCCTGACAGCCGGTGTCACACGCGCTGTGCGCCGGGTTGTGATCGCTGTCGCCGGAGCAGAGCGCAGCTGGATGCGCGGCGCTCTGGAGCCCAGCCCGGACCTCTCCGTAGTGGTCGAATTTGGGGGGACATCTCCGTGCCTCTCCGTGCAGCTGCCGCCAGCAAGCCCTTCTGTCCCCCATTAGAGAGGTCACATGGGCCATCACGAAGTCACCTGCCCGTGGAGGGACCACCTGTCTCGCCTCCAGGTGAGGACCTGGATCGAGCCGGTGGTGGCCTCGACACAGATGGCCGCCTCCCTCTACGACGCAGGGCTACTCCTGGTGGTGAAGGCGTCCTTCGGGGCCGGGAACTCCTCCATCCACAACACCACCCCTTCTCCCCGGGGGGCTCAAGAGGACCAACAGCAGATGGCCATCTCCAATTTCTACATCATCTACAACCTCGTGGTGGGCCTGACGCCCTTGCTGTCCGCCTATGGGCTGGGCTGGCTCAGTGACCGTTACCACCGCAAGATCTCCATCGCAGTGTCGCTGCTGGGCTTCCTGCTGTCCCGCCTCGGACTGCTCCTCAAGGTGCTGCTGGACTGGCCGGTGGAGATGCTGTATGGGGCGGCGGCGCTGAACGGCCTGGGCGGCGGCTTCTCAGCCTACTGGTCTGGGGTCATGGCCCTGGGATCCCTGGGCTCCTCCGAGGGCCGCCGCTCCGTCCGCCTCATCCTTATCGACCTGATCATGGGCTTGGCAGGGTTCTGCGGCAGCATGGCCTCGGGACATCTCTTCAAGAAGATGATCGGGCACTCCGCGCAGGGCCTGGTGCTGACGGCCTGCAGTGTGTCTTTCGCCTCTTTTGCATTTTTCTACAGCCTCTTGGTGCTGAAGGTCCCCGAGGCTGTGGCCAAGCCCAGCAAGGAGCTCCCCAGCGTGGACACTGTATCTGGCACAGTGGGCACTTACCGCATACTAGATCCTGACCAGCTGGATAAGCAGAGTATAGTGGGGCACCCTTCATCACCTGGAAAAGCAAAGTCCCCCAAAACCATCATCACCCTGCTCTTTGTGGGTGCCATCATGTATGACCTGGCAGTGGTTGGCACAGTGGACGTGATGGCCCTTTTTGTGCTGAGGGAGCCCCTGAGTTGGAACCAAGTGCAGGTGGGCTATGGTATGGCTTCCGGGTACACCATCTTCATCACCAGCTTCCTGGGTGTCCTGGTCTTCTCTCGATACTTCCGGGACACCACCATGATCATGATTGGCATGGTCTCCTTTGGGTCAGGAGCCCTCCTCTTGGCCTTTGTGAAAGAGACATACATGTTCTACATTGGTGAGTCTGGCGTTCTTGGGAAGGCAGGAATTGCTGACCCTCTCTGATCATGGGCTGACAACCAGAAATACTGTGGTCTTGGTTTCCTAGCTCAGTACCAGGGATTGAACCTGCCAGTAAGCAGGCACGGGGAGACTCTGTTATGTTGTGTATTATCTGCATTGCACATTGAAATGTTATCAGCTGGGTGCCCATGGTTCTAGGGGACCTGGAGGTGCAGCCAGTGGTACCTAGAGTCTGCAGGGGAGACATCAGAATGGACAAGGTTGAGTTTCTTCTCTATTTTTTTCAGTGTTGGGGACTAAACCCAGGAGCACTGAGCTATACCCCCAGTCCTTTTTATTTTTATTTTAAGACAAGGTCTTGCTAAATTGCCCAAGCTGGCTGCAAGCTTGCATCTTGCCTCCATCTCCTGAGCTGCTTGGATTACAGGCATGTGCCAGCTTCTGACCCACTTTTTTTTTTTTTTTAAGACAGTCTTATGTAGTTCAGGTTGGCCTTGAACTCATGGCAATCCTCCTGCCTCAGCCTCCTAAACACTGAGATTACAGGCACGCACCACTGTCCAGCTCCCAGTTGTAAAGGGATAAAACATAAGTAATCCAGCTGAAAAGGTCCTTTAACTGAAATCATTTGGGACCGACTAAGGGCTTTTTAATACATAAAAATTCCCAACAATGAATTCTACAACTAATAAAATAAATCCCCTCAAGAAAGCAGAATGAAGTTTCCATGTGGGGATAATGATCAGACAAGCACAAGCAGGGAGCTTAGATTAGAGCTCCAGCAGAACTTTCTACAATGGTGGACATGGCCCACCCAGTAATTCAGTCTGGTTCACACAGCAGCCACTTGCCACATGTGGTATTAAGTGCTTGAGGTGTGCAAGTAATGCAACTAAGAATACAATGTTAAAGTTCATTTCATGTTAATTTAAATAGTCACTCATGGCTAACAGCTAACATATTGGAAAGAATGACTCTAAAATGTTGCCAGAAGGCTGTTGCACACCTTAGAAAAACACCTAACAAAATGGTACAGTTCTCAGGAAGGCTATGGGCTAAGGACAGAGTACCCCTCTCCCCTTCCCTTCCCGCCACTCTCCCTCCTTCCTCCCTCTCTCTCTCCACAACCCCCTCCTCCTCCCCGACAACTGCATTGGGCTGACAGGGCCTGAGGGCTGTATGGCAGCTGCTGTGGGGGGACATACTTCCAGAAGTGCTTTCCAGAAGAATCTCCTGGGATTGTCTCCCCCAGGTGTTCGTGCATAGTAAGGGCAAGTACTTCTCTCCTTCAGAGAAACCTGTGTCACTTTGGTGGCAGCAGCTCTCCTTCCCCAGGAACCACTTCACTCTGCCAGTACAGACCAGACCCCCAGGGCTGTCCATCTCCTGATCAGCGGTGCCCGACCACCTTGTAAAGCCATACCCAACACGAACAGCTTTATCTGACCTCAGAGAATCAGCGTGTAGTTGAGGGCACTTGTCTGCCAGCAGAGAAGTTACTTCTTCCAGGTCCAACATCTAGGGAAAGTGAGCCAGGCTTTTGCTGTATTCTGATATCTTTTCAAACATGAGCCAAAATGTGTGATCTTTTTTTTTGTCTATTAAAAATAGATTTATTTTCTTTCAAAAATTATATTTGTTACTGTTATTCCAGTGTCTCTACTGCAGTTCTTAATGTATCTATTGACACTGAAAATCTTTAAAACAAAACATAGATTAACTATCTTTCCAGAATTGGTATACAGATTAGTTCTAAGATGCACATTAACTAAAACAAGTGATAAAAATTAATTAATGCCTGCCTTTAAATACAATTATAAAATATACAATGTTTTTGTGATATATTACTGAAATATATTCAATACTCATAACTGGGCTAAGATAGAAATAGTTTTAAGAAGAAAATGAAAGTAGATTATGCCCTTATATTGAAGTATAAAGTTGATTTTCTGTGTCTCGATTCTGATTTTACTGACATGGGATCTTGTGTGATCTTTTACAGCACGAGCAGTCATGCTGTTTGCGCTCATCCCCATCACAACCATCCGGTCAGCCATGTCCAAGCTCATCAAGGACTCATCTTATGGTAAGTGAAAGGAATCTAAGATCTTCTGCCCCAGGCTGTTTTAGAGCTACTGAACTTGAGGCACAGATTCGCAGAAGACCCACAAGAAAGTTCCAGAAGCATCCTCAAGTACATTAGGAACAATGTGGTTTCCAGCCAGAGCAGATAGGAGAGTGGGAAAGACTCAAAAAGTCAATCACTGAAAAGCCACAGAAAGATAGTTACTGAAAAGCCACAGGCTTGGGAAGATGCAGCTAGATGGAAACAGAGTTCCTGGCAAATTAAGTCACGAAGACTGAAAAAGAGTCCTTGGAAAAGGGAGCAGGTTCCCCAAGGCTCTCCAGAGATTCCCCAGGGAAGAACAAGGAGAGAGAAACAACAGGACATTTCTTATTAACCTCTGTGCCCTTCACAGGAAAGGTGTTCGTCATACTGCAGCTGTCCTTGGCTCTGACTGGAGTGGTGACATCCACTATATATAACAAGATCTATCAGCTCACCATGGACAAGTTTATCGGCACCTGTTTTGCTCTCTCCTCCTTCATCTCCTTCTTGGCCATTGTCCCGATTGGGTAAGAAGGGAGCAGCCTGGCTGTGTGACCTGGGGCTTGGTGTTTAGGGTAAGGCCTGCAGGACTATGTCTAGCCTACCATTGCAGGATTATTTACACCCATGTCTACTCTACCATTGCAGGATTATTTACGTTTATACTCTGACTTTATGTCCTCCTGTTCCCTCAAGCCAATAATCTAGCCATCTGGAAATTACCCCAAAACACAAATAATGAATAGAACCCAAACGGGCTGACTCACTTCCGGGCAGTTTTGCAGTGACAATTTATTTATAGACTCTTTGCATACTTCCTTATAATTGGAGGCTGGTATTAGAAACTCTCTTGAGCCATTGAGGCCTTTTTTGTCTGTCTCCCACTGGGTGAGAGTGATCCTGCTCTTTTCTGAATGCTATTTTTTCTCTGTGTCCCAATGGGACTTTGTGCTCAGTGTACAAAATCTCCTGGCCACTGGGCTATGTGAACGTACTGTTAGGTGATACCTTTGACTCAGTTCTGGGGGTTAAGAGGCAGGAGGAGGGCTGAGGAGTAAAGGAGAGCCTGGCTGGTCCACAGCCCATTGTGAGAGCCCTGGTCAAGATCACCAACAGAAGAAACAGGGCACAATTCAGGTCTGTCTTCAGCCAGCCCTGCCCGACAGAAATAAGAGTGTGATTCACAAAGGCTGGCTACAGGTTTGCTTCACACTTGCCACGGAGCCCCATTTTAAAGGACTGGCAGGTGAAACTAATTGTAATTGTAATCATGTAGGCGGTATCCAAAATATTTCAACATGGCGTCAACTTACAAAACTCACCAAGGAGATATTTTATTTTTTTAAACTAAGTCTTTGTAATCTGATTAGGTATTTTACATGCACAGAAAATTTCAACCTGGACCAGTCACATTCCGAGGGTTCAATTGCCTGTTGTGGCTATGGCTCCCACACTGGACGACTTAGTCCTCCTCCAGACTGTCAGGCCCTTTCCAGAAATGAGGTTCCCTCGTGTATCAGTGCTGCTTAGCCAGAAGAAAGGAAGAAAGAAGGAAGGAAGGAAGGAAGGAAGGAAGGAAGGAAGGAAGGAAGGAAGGAAGGAAGGAAGGGAGGGAGGGAGGGAGGGAGGAAGGGAAGAAAAAAAGAAAGAAAATATTGCATTTTAAAGAAAACTGCCTAGTAGCACATGAAAGTTTTGTATATTGGCAATGACATCATTATAGGCAACAGAATAGAAAACAGTTGATGGTAAATGAAAAGAGGACAGTAATAATGTGATTTTTAAATTTTTTTCACATTACTTGATAATATAGGTCTCCTGAAAAAGAAGCCATCAATCATTAAAGTTCCTGGTTTTCTTTCTTAGTTGTGAAAAATAAACTTAGTACACAGTCGGCCTTAGGATCAATCCTTAGCACTATCAAAAAAAATGGAGAAAAATAAGATATGAAGATCAGGGGCAGGAATATAGCTCAGCGGCACAGCACCTGCCTGGCAAGAATCTGAGGTCCTGAGTTTGATTCCTGGTACAAAAAAAAAAATCGGGTAACAGAGTTTGTACTAATCAGGGCCTTAATCAGGCCTCATTTCCCAAGGTGAGGGACTGAGCCAGCTCTGTCCTCAGGCTGTGCAGCCTTTAGCATTTTCACGTAAATGCTGGCTGAAAGGGTTGAACTGACTCAGTTATGGCTACCATGCAATGCAAATTTCTCTGGAGTTCCAGGACCCTGGCCAAGTGAGTAATGGATTAGTAGTTTTGCCTCCTTGAAAAACATCCAGGCCTGTTTCACTGGCAATTGGATGAAGTAGTTTCTTTAACCTAAACAAACACCAAAAACCAACAGAAAACAAGTCTAACTAGTTAATGTACATCATAAAGATATAAACACACAAATAAAAGCAATAGAAAATCCACAAATTGTTCCTTTCTGCAGTTTCATCCACTTTCACTGTGCTGCGTAGGATGTCTTGCCTTATTAACAGACTTGAGGGTACATGAGGCAGGTGCGCTGCCCTTGACACCTCACCCCAAATATACCTGCCCTCAGCCATTTATCCCTGTACAGGATCTTAACTAACCTTGTGGCATCTTCGTATGTCACAGAGGCAGGCACAGAATGTGGAAACACTGAAGTAAGTAACTGATTGGGTGCTAATGGGATGAAGGCACTTAAGTAATTGCTAAGTATTCCTCTGTTGTGGACATTTAGCAGCGCAGATGTGCAGACAAAGCCAAGTTCTCTGCACACTGGAATGACTGGGAAAGATTTTCAGATTCTCCCTGCAGGATCCCAGCCCTAGGCACTGTGATTCATCTGACCTGGGGCACAGCCTGAGCACAGGGATTTTTTTTTTTTTTTTTTTTTTTAATGCTCTCCAGGTAATTTGAGTGTACAACCACACAACATCAAACATTCTGGCATAAAAGGAATATTTCCTTTAACTTTCCTATATCCTAGAAATTCTTCCAACTAAAGGAGGTTAATCTTTGCCATCAGTGACTGAGAGGAACAGGAAAGTCCAGTGGAGCTTTCTAACCATAGAAACAAAGTCGCTTTCCAATGGCAGAAAAACACCTGAGGCACTTCAGACTCAGGAGGCTGGACTGGTCACAATCTGAATCCGCCTCCTCGATGCTGGGAGAGGCCTCTAGACTAGACATACCAACAACCTGTTGGCAATCTCAAGTGGTTGTAGCCCTGCCCCTTCCTGGCACCCGAGTGAGCCATTGTTATGCCACTGTGAGGACCTGCCCTCTCCTGCTAGCTCTTTTTTTGCCTGCGGAGGGAGATGCTGAGAGAATCACTGTGTGGTTCTATCCATCCCCAGCCCTCTCCCCCCACTCAGCAAAGGCTTCACACTACATAGAGACCTACAAATGACCTTGCTTTCTCCCATCTACAACCCTGTTTTCACTCATACTCATCCCTTTCTTCCTTTTAAAATAACAATAAGCTTGTTAAATATTCCATATATTTTAACTATTAATCTTCCTAAAGAATCCTTTGAGGTAATTACTATTATCCCCATTTTGCTGATGAGGAAACAGAGGCTTAAACTTGCTATTTTCTTAGAGGATTTATCTTAACCCTTCTCAACGTATATTAGATTTTTCTATTATAGATTCCCAAAGTTTCCTACATTTGTCCTTTCTAGCATGATAGTTGATGAACATTTCATGATTGTCTGTTCAGTATTCTTGCCTGCTAGACTACAGGCTCCCTGAGAACAGAGACCATGGGCGTCCGACTCACCCTGGCCAAATGTAACCTGCCATAACTGGCCAATAGGTTACAGAGAGGGATCTGAGCCCTGCTGTCTCTTTCTCTCTTATCCACTATGTGGGACTGATTCTCAGAAAAGTCACTCAATATCTGGGAGTCATCTCAGTCATCTCTTCCACCTAATTCAGAGAGCTTCTTCTACTGCTTGACCTCTCTCTCTGTCTCTCTCTCTCTCCCCCAGCTCTGTTTCTGTCTCTCCCTCTCTGTCTCCTCCTCTTTCTTCTGCTTATCTAAAAAATGACCCACCACTGTCTCTCCTCTTCAGAGCCAGTTCCTCCAAAGGCTGCTCTGCACCGCTGTCCAATGTCCTCTCCTCCACTCACCTGCAAACCTCCTCCAGGCTGACTTCTTACCAACCCCACCAGAGCTGCTCTCACAAGGCCGCAGATGACTTCTTTGTGGCTGCCATTCTCCCTCCTGTGATTTCTCAGCAGCCCCAGCACTTTCAGCTCCCTTCCCTCAGGAGGCTTCACCCCTGGCCTTCGTAACCTCTTACTCTTCTGTTTCTTTCTCCTATTTCTCTGATCACTTCTCCATAACCTCCAAATGGAGGGTTCCTGTAGGGTTCTGCTCTGGGCCATCTTCCCTCTTGAGATTCTTTCTCAAAACAATGTAAAGTGTTTCTAAACTTCAAACTGCCATTTACAATTCCAAAACTGGGTTTCCTTTAATCCTGCCCCCACTCTAGCCTCTCCTATGCCAGTCCATGGCACCAGCCCCCACCTGAATGGCTAGAAACCTGAGAGTCACCATATGCTTTCTCTTCACTGCCCCCCAACTCCAACCCACCAGGCCTCATTAATTCTATCTCCAGAGTCTGCCTTTCATTCACGCTTTCCTTTCTCCTGCAGCCATTCCTAGTCGGCAGCCCTTAGTGATGAAGTTAGCCTTGAAACCATTCTTTGTATATTTATTCTTATTTCCTTCCATTCTCTCTCCACCTGGTGGCTGGAACAATTTCTTTAAAGTATAAATCAGATCTTGTCATCCACTCAAAGCTCTCACTTTTTTTTTTTTTTCATTTCTTTTAGAATAAAACTCAAGTGTCTTACTGTGGCCCACAAGGTCCTACATAATTGCATCTTGCCAACCTCACTAGGCTCAGATTCCAGCCACTAATTCTCCTCCCCTACCCTTCGTGATCCACCAGGCTCTTTCCTTTCCTCGCCCACACCTCTTTATTCACTCGGTGAGTTGTGGTATTAACCTAAACATCATTTTCTCAAAAAAGATTTTCCTAATCCTTTTCCATCTAAATTAGATCATTTTATTATATGTCCCCAAAGCATCCTGCTTTTCCTTCCTAGAATGACAGTCGATGACCATTTAATGGTTACCGCTTTAGTATGCTTCCCACCAGATTGTAGGCTCTCTGAAGCCAGAGACAATGGCTGTTTGACTTACCATGTGCCTATGTGTCCAGTAGAGAGCCTGGCATATAAGAAGTACTCCAAAAGGATTTGTTTAGTGAGTGAATTCCAAGATGAGAATGGCACTTACAACCCAGTATTACTTACACTCACATCCCAGAGCTGCCTGTTGGTTGAACATGAAGTCAGGAGCTGGCCAGAAACACATGGTAGGAGTCAGAAGTCAAGGCTGCAAGCCAAGTTCATGAAGCCCTGTGCTAGCTGCCTCCTAGTCTTGCCTCTCCACTTGCCAGTCCTATAAAACAATGAATTTTATTTGAAGTACGTTAACTGCTCCTCCCACTAGGGCCTGAGGGCTCATGGGAGTTGGGGACTTTCTACAAAGCTTTTCTTTAGAAGATTTCTATTTGAGCTCACACCCACTGCGACTCCAGGTGTTATGTTCCCATCAGGAGCTATGCTCTAGCTTAGAACCTGAGGATCCTGAAGCTCCCACAGATGAGAAAACTGAGGGTCTCAGTTTTCTGAAGAACATGATCCATCACACAGATCTAAGACTCTAACTAAGAGTGCCTACTTGCTATGACTCCATTTATCTGCTGCTATTTTAGGGCAAGGTTTATGAGGTAAAGGGATTAGAAAGGGAGAAGGTGAGATGCCTATTCTTGAGATTAGCAAAGGTTAATCTTGATTTTGAGATACATATGGGAACTCATCATGGGGAACAGATACAGAGAGATTCCAGGAAAATGTAGCCAAAGTGCTAATGATGTGTGAAACAGAGAAGGTCATTTTCACAGGACTGGAAGGAACTGGAAGTGAAAAGAAGGCCCCTGGGCCATCCTTCTCACTTAGTATAGCGTTCTGATGCCATAATGGGGATAGCTTCTCACTCTATCAGTGATAAAAAGTGGCCTGAGATCTCCCCAATACAGCCTGTCATTCTGAGATAAAGAGTGACCAGAGGCATCTCCAGCCTTTGTGAAGAGGAAAAGCCACACACTTTGCCCCACTCCAGCCCTTCTCTTCTAACTCTCTATTGTAAATTCTTACAGCATTGTGGCCTATAAACAAGTCCCAGGTTTGCAACATGAAGACAGGACAGAGAAATGAAGCTGCAGACCTGCAGGAGCTAAAAACACCAGCAGAGGCTAGATCTTCCAGAAGACTAATGAAGGGACCAGAAAGCTGGTGACCAAAGCAACTACTACTCAAGAAACCTACATTCCAGCCCTAATCTGCCTCCAGTGACTCTGGGTTAGGGTCCCAGGTGGAAGGGAAAAACACTTTCTGGGTGATGGAAGAACTTTCTCAGTTTTCAGATGCCCCTGTTAGGCAGAGGTTAAGTTCTGGGGGTACAGGATGCCGTCCCAGCCCTAGAGAGGCCGTGGGCTCCAACCTCAGCTGCCAGCCCCCTTTCTTCAGGTACTGTCTTGATGGCTCCAGCACAGGACTAATTGGTCACCTGAGTGCTGTGCCTGAAGTTCCATGGAAGGCCTGTGTTTTTAACAGCCTGAAGGAAAGGAATGTTTTATAAAGAACCAGCAGTTTTGGATGAACAAGGTCTTTGAAATTAAAATAAAACCTTGAAAAAAATGTCAGCCTTCTTTTCTGGGGCCTCATTAGCCATGGAAATCCAAGAGAAATGGAGCTGCTGGGTAGTGTTGTTGCCATGGTTGTTTCTGAGAGCAAAAAGTTTCATTAACAGAACAGTCAGTTGAGTACTTTCAACCAGCAATACTTTCCAAAGTGGGTGGTGTAAAGGAAGAAGCTCTATAAAAACCATTTAATTTCAAGGTATTTATTTTTATTATCTATTTTGCTTACATATTAAAAACAGGCTCACCTCTCAAATCAGCATTCACAGTGTGAGTGTGTGAATCATTCTTTCCTCTTATGACTACAGACATAGCATTCTTAAACTGGGGTGGAACACAAAGCTAGAGCTGAAGAAAGCATTTAAATGTCAAGGCATTTGGACTTAGAGAGTTTTATCTGTAATCCTTTGTCAAAGAGTAAACAAAATTTTATGACATGTCTACTAAGGTCCAGGTGCCATGCTAGGTATGGAGAAACAGAGGAAATAAGAATAACCATTCCTGGCCCCAGATTTAGCTCAGTGGCATAAGCACTTGCCTGGCAAGCACAAGGTTGTGAATTCAATCCCCAGTACCAAAAAAAGAATGACCATTCCTGCCCTAACAGAACACAGTAAACAAGTGGAGTGCACAGAAGAGTGGGCAGCGGTGTCCTCTATGATAAATGCTCATGTAAAGGAGCATGTATGTCTTGTAGACCTTGGGAAACAGAGAACTTCCAGGATATGGTAAGTCCACAAGGATAAACAGCAGTTACCACGGCCAGATGAGGGGAACATTCCAGGCAAAGGCTACAACATTCTGGAAAGCCTAAAGGAGATGCCTTTTCCAACATACAGGAATTCAATGTGAAGGGACCAAAGGAGGGAGGAAGACAGGAGTCAAAGAAAGGATAGAGAGAGGAGACTGGAGCAGAGAGGAAGGCCAGCATAAAAGAGCCTTTCAAAAGAAAATGTTTCTTTTTTGAGGGGTGGGGGCTGAGTGTTAGCTTACCAGAATATGTTTCTTGATAGAGTAACAGACACAGTTGTTGGAAGATTGTAATTAGAATACAGAATGCTTCATTTGCATTTTAGAGTACTCTGGAAGCACCGTGGAAGAAAAAAACAAGCAAGTTAAGCAAGGAAGAGACAGGCTAAGGATCCTGCAGCAAACTAGGCGAAGGATGCCAATGGCCGGCACAGTGGGTAAGAGGCGATGAGCAGGGAGAAAAGAGATGGAGGTGAAGTGAGAGACGGGCCAGGAGTTGATGGGTGCACTGTAGAGTGTGAGGCAGATGGACTCAAGAATGACTCACATTTGGGGTTCAGGCAGTCAGGAATGGCAGAGGATCCCTCACTGAGACAGGCATGAGTAAGGCCAATGGGATGGGAAAGGTGAGTTCAAGATCACAGTCAACCCCTCCAAACTCACTGATAATGCTCCTTCCTCTTCATCCTTGCCTTGCGTTCCAGCCCGTAACATGAATGAAGCGAATCCCTGGCTTCCTCATTCCTGCTCCCAAAAAGCTTGCTCTTAAAGGCCAAAGAATCCACTTTCATGTCCTCATTGACCCTACTACAAGGCAGTGGCTCCTAATCTGAACTGGACTCTTAAAATCCTGGCACTGGCTCTTTTTCAACCTCGCTGGTCCTCAAGAGTACGAGTTTTAACCTTTTCAGCTGTCCCCGAGTCACATTTCTTCCAAGAGATTTCTAACCCAGTGATTCTTAAGCCACCAGCACCAGTCTAATCTGAGAACCTATCAGAAATGCAAACTGTGGGGCCCTACTCAAATCCACTCTAGCAATAGGGCCTAACAACATGTTAGAAGTCTTCGAGTTTATGAATCACCACTGTAATCTATGGAGCCTGTTTGTCCTAAGACCTTCCCTGAGTCCTCCTCCATTCATCCTTAACTACTGAGGTCCCCAAATGCCATCTTTGGTTCTCTTCTCAAGCAATTTGTTTGACTCCTATGGACAGTACAACTCTGTTTCCAATGGTTAACACATTCACCTGTGTTTTCCCCAAAGAATCGAAACCAAGTGATTCTCCCACTCTATCACCTAAGAATAGCACATTTTAAAGTATTTCCCTCCTGATTAATTTCATTTTCAGTGCCCAAGATGGAAGTTTCCAAAATCACCTCTGACTCATTCCCTTTACCACGGGAACTTCCTAAATCCAACTGCTCATTCCCATCTCCTTCTCTTCTTCCCATGACTTTACAGTCTGTTTCCATCTATTCTCTAGGCCTCCAGACAGACCACAATCATCCTTACCTTCTAAAGAGAAGGTATTATCCTACTTTAAAAGGAGAAATTTCAGTCGAATGTGGGGACACAGGACTGTAATCTCAGCATTTTGGAAGGATCACAAATTCAAGACAAGCCTGTGCAACTTAGCAAGATCCTCTCTTACATAAAAAAATATAATAAAGGAGTTGGGATGTAGCTCAATGTGAAGCCCTTGGTAGTGAAAAAAAAGAAAGAAAGAAAAAATTCAGCTAGTCAAACACCCAGGAAAGTTTGCTATTCTTAATATTTAAGTTGGCCATACTTAAACAATAGGAAGAGTTTTTCCATAAGGTATATTTTCCATAAGGTAAAATATTCACTCACAACTTAACATCTTTACATACATAATTAATTTTGCTAACCACCTACGGGTAAGGCTTGTCTTCATTCCAAAGATCACAATACTAAAGGTCCAGAGATGCAACTTGCTTAAAGCCACACAAGCTGACATTTGAACTCAAATCTCTTTTCCATTTTGTATGACTTGTCCACGTTGTATGACTGCAGTTTTAATGATGTCTACTATCAAGCAGTCAAGTTCAACATCATTGTAAGTTCATCATTAGGTTGGTACCTTGGCACTTTGGCCTCTAATTTGCAATACAGATATTCCTTGTTTAACAACCGAGTTCTGCTCCTGTGACTAGGTCATTTGTGCATTGGATGCTGAATGAGGAACTGTATATACTATGTACAATATTCAGAACAAAGAAATGGTCAAAGAGACTCCAACTTGATGGTTTTGCTTTTATCTGCAAACTCTTACATGCTGTACTATAATATATAAAAGAACATACAACTACAGTACTGTGCTATAAGGGATGATGAGCAAATTTTACAGTACTGTTTTTTACTGTATAAATTTACTGTATAAATAAGGTCTACTGTACAAAGACACTGAAGCTTTACAAACAAGATGTACAGAACTGTACAGGAAAAAAGGTGCACTGTAAATCCAAACTGTGCACCTCAGTCATAAGTCCAGTCAGTAAGCAGATCAGTCATCAAATGAGGAATACCTGTACATTCTTACACTTTCTTAAGTTGTAAAGATGAGCTGGGTACCTCTCCTTGAATGCAGAACAATTGCTGCAACATTAGTTAAATAGAGTCTTATTTTCATATACTGATGTGTACAGAGCAGGCTATGCTATTCCAGTCTCCCTTCAATTGGCTCTAAGTGATGCAAATAAGGCTAGCTAAGGTACTGACACGCACTCCTTGAAGCTACCTGACAGTCTCCTGTTTCCTCCCATAGTGCTCTCTGTAAAGGACCAAGTGCAGCTGGATGGCAGAGCCAATCAGCTCCAGGAATGTCAGCTGGGTACCAGCCTCAAAGTAAGAGGCAATGAGTCCCCAGGGCACAACAGTTTACATATCAAAAACTGAAGCAACAGCCTCCTAAACACCCTGAGTTATACAGACTGATCCTTCTGCATATCCTTCTCCCTGCATATTGCAAAGATGCTTTTCTTCCCACTTGGCGAGCCAGCCCAAGTTACTCACATAGTTCCCATCATCCTCACCGTCATCCCTGAATCACTGCCTTCTTCACAAGACAATAAATTCTGGGAAAGGCCTTGGATCAGGGCCATTGTCCTTATATCCTCGCTTGGATCAGACGTGAGACTCTTTGGCTGCTCATAACTTTGACTATGTCTTGATGTCTTTACTCTTGCTGTGGGTTGCATTGGCGGTAGGAGGATGGAATTAACTCATTGGAATTCCAGTGTTTCTATGGGGTTACAAATATAACTTCCAGATTATGAGGTGGATTGAAAAAAGATTACAATATTTGGACTACAATATACAACATTTGGCTACATTTCAATAATAAATCACAGATACTTTTCTAACCAATTCTTCAAAAACACCCTAACAGTAAAACACAAAAATATGAGGAAGTGACAGATTCTGACCCAGAATACTATGTGTTTCACTGTGGGATGGTACAGGCAAAAGAAAAATCTCTTATATGTCACCTGAACTGGCTGTCAACCAGGCCTGCCAATCATGGTGGTAATTATATAGGTACGTTCTTCATCTCCCCAAATTAGGGACAATCTGTAAGATATAGGAGAGAGTAAACTGGGGTTTGATCTATAAAGAAATGAAGTAGAATAAAGAGCTAAATGATAAATTATACATAGAGCTAAATTATATATATATATATATATATATATATATATATATATATATATACATATGTATATATATGTACTTTTTTCCCCCTATTGCTCTGTATTTCCTGATTCTTGCAGGCAAATTGCTACCTTTTCAAAGATAACAAAACAAGAAGAGGTACGCATGCTTTCTTCCTACAGACAGGTACAAAAAGAGAACACGAATCAAGGTAAAGAAAGCATCTTTTATCAGTTTATTGGTCCATTGTTTTAAGTTAATTGAGGTAAAGAAACTTTTCAAATTTACAAGCTAATAGTTTATCAAGCAGTACAAATTCTTTGTTTACCTCAAAATGTAATACTAATCCCATAGTAAACAGATTTTTTTATACAGACATATGAAAAAAAAAAAAAGTGGACAAAAACCGTATGCCAGCATCAAAAACGCAACAAAAATCTTTTTCTTTAATTTCATAATCTCTGGGATCCACAACAAAGAAAAGGAGGTGACATTCTCTTAACATTTGGTAGCTTCATGAAATAAAGACTTCAACCTGTAGATAAAATCACTTTCTGCACACACTTTCTCAAGCACTTTTTATTTTCACAGCTTTTGTTTTGGCTTAATGGCAGCATGGAGAGACTGTAACACATTTACAGAGGACTTTCCAATACCTCACAAAAGGTTTTTTTTTTTTTTTTTCAGTTTTTAAACGTAAAGAATGATTTTTAAAAATAAGAAACGTAGTCCATAATTTGGACATGTTCTAAGCAAGAGTTTTAATCTCTTAACAGTTAAAATACAAGTTTAGAAAGTTTGCTGGCAGTGTGTGTCAGGGGAGTGTATCTGATGTCAGTCCTGACCCACAGGGATGGAGGGCACAGGCACAGAGAACACAAGAAGGGACGCCATGGGACAGGACTGAAACCTCAGGGTATCCAAGTGGACAGTGCTGACTGTTAGGAGATGCTGGTTCATTATCTGATGAAGGCCTGGCTGACATGGCCGTTGCTCTACGGAACCGGTTCACACTGGTCTGCCATCTACTTCCCCTCTCCCTGTTTCCACACGGAGGAAAAGGTGATTCCATTTTGCCCCTTCCAGGATCCTTTCCGACCAAAGGGCTGCTCTATGACTGTGAACAGTGTGTCCAGCAGGGGTGCAGACAGATGCTGGCTGCTCTGACCTGTCCTGCGGAGAGCCCAGACTCACTCAGTGGCCAGGCAGTACTCCTGGGAGAGGCATGCAATACTCTTCATCACTGATTTTAACTAAAAGCTCTGCTAAAACAGACTCCATTTCAGTCTGTGGAGAATTTCCAGTCAAAACATGGTGCTCTGAGGTCCCCGCAGTATCTTAAAAAGCTATCTGCAGAAATAGGTAAACCTTTAATGCTGTCACAACCTACAGAGTTCTCTTTATCACTATGATTTGTCAAAGCTGATATCACAGATCTATAATCAAAAGTATGCCAAAAGGCACTGCATTAATCTTTCACACTTTAAATCCATGAAAGGTATTATGTTCCCTTATATTATTAAAAACATCATTTGGCAATAGCAACACTTAGTTCTGTCTCCCCAAAAGGCCACCCTCATCATGACCTCACTTTCTGCCTCTGCCTTTTTTTTTTTAAAAAACGGGATCAAGGACTATGTTAAGTCTCTAGTATTTCAACAGAATAACTGATTACATTTCTAAAACTCTTTCTACCCAGAATTTTAAAAACACTAGTTGAATAAGGCATATTATTATTATTATTACTAGAGATTTAAAAATGCTCAAAAAGTATAGTTAGGTTTTTAACAGTCTGTGATATTTTTAATTCTGGAATTGATTTTCAAGTGCTAAATACATAGAATATTTATATGAGACAAACATTATTTTTCATAGCACTTATTTACAGACTTAGTAAAAACTACCTGGATAACACATTTTTCTGCCACAAAGAAAAAGCTGGACAGGATGCATTTCAAACACATAAGCAGGAACAGCCCCCAGCCTGGTCTTTTTAAATGCAGACAGCTCTGCACTCTCACTGATATGTGCAACTTTGGGGAGAACTGACATCCTTAAAATAAAAGAGTGGGTTAGTGAGAAATTGGATCCCTGGATTATTCATTAAATTTAAAACAAGAAAGAAATACCAGTTGTGGTGGAACTGGCCTGTAATCCCAGCAACTTGGGAGGTTAAGGAGGAGGAGGATCATAAGTTTAAGAGCAGTCTGGACGATTTAGGGAGAGTCTGTCTTAAAAATAATTTTTAAAAAAAAGAAAGAAAGAAAAGGAGACAATGCTGGGGATGCTGCTCAGTGGTTGAGAGCCTAACATGCATGAGGCCCTAGGTTCAATCCCCAGTACTAAGCCAGCACACCTGTAATCTCAGCACTTGGGAGACTGAGGCAGGAAAAGTGCCAAGAGTTCGAGGCCAGCCTGGACTACATACTGAGTTCAAAACTAGCCTGAACTACATGGTGAGACCCTGTCTCAAAGAAAAAAGAAAACAAACAAACAAAAAACACCCCAGTACTACCAGAGTGGGGGAAAGGGGGACGACAAAGCAACTTCAACACACACGCATCAGTAAATTTGGCCTAGGAGAGGACACTTACCTCAAATGTACTGAGAAGTGCCATTTGCCATATAAGCATAAGCAGCAAAACACAAGCAGTGGAAGGGTGCATCCAATCTCTTGCTATCCTGAGGACTTTTGAAAGTGTAGCAGTCAAATCCAAATTGCCCAGATAACTTTGTAAATGATGATGGCCAAAACAACACTACCCCAGGCAGGTAATTAGCTTCCTCTGTTTCCACAGTTCCTGCAAGTAGGTGTCCAGATGGGTGTACCCTGTCCTGACCATGGCAAGAACCCCATCTAGCCAGAGCAGAACCCAGTTCCAACCATTCCAAGACCCAACATAGCCTTGGAAGTTGTTTATGGAGGATCTTATATTCCTCCTCTCTCACCAGTTCAGAATAGAGGACTCTCTGCGCTCCAGTGAACCTCATCGCAAAAGAGACAGCTGCCTGTGGCTGAAATGAAATGCTACCAGTGGCAGCATTTCAGTGGGTGTTCCTTGGGCCAAAACAGAAAAGCTTCACTTGCAACTGCTACATGGCCACCAGGCCCATCTCTGAAACAGACTTCCGGTTGGTCTGTAAGGCAATCACACAAGCTGGGAAGAGCAGGAGGGTATGAGCTTCCTCATGGGGAGTGGTCATGAAAAACCTGTGCAATGCACATCTACACACTCTCATCAACACACTCTGTGAGGTTGAAATTTTGCATGAAACACTTATCTTACGTTCACCATGATCCCCAGTGTCATGCTTTTAACTGAGCTACAGAGAGGTGTCTGGTGAGTTTCAGAGCAGTGTGATCTAATTACCTTCCATTCATCAGCAATCATTATTAAGCCTTATCAAAGGATGAAACCCAACTGCGAGCCAGGCTGAGCAATGTGTTTCTCACGTTGGAGCAGTGGTATCTTGTCTGGAGCAGGCTCACCAGACTCTTCTTATACACCGCCCCCTCCCGCCGCCACACACCTGCTGCAAATCACAGCTGCTTTCTCTTCAACTTCATTTGCCTCTCTAAACTTTGTCAGTTTCTAGGAATTCTCTCTCCTGCCATTTGGATTTTTAACCCAGGTACAGGATATGTTTCCCTTCCTCAGAATTCAGTCAGTTGCAAGGGACAACTTTCCATTCCAAGTCCTCAAGCCTCAAAAACTGTCTATGACACTACTTGAAGCAGAGTATTGCCCTTGAGCAAAAAAATCTCACGGAAAAGACATGAGAGGAGCCACTGAACTGGTCTGTGACTTGACTCTATGACAGGGTGATGAAACCTCTCCAAGGCTATCTTTGGCACCAGAAGTTTGCAAGTTACACTTCACACAGGGAATCTCCTGCGTGCTCGATCAAGGTTAAAAAGGCTGTTGAATCTCTGTGGCAAAAGGGAGCCAAGCGAGAGGGGAGGGCTGGAGACGCCCTCTCCCTGCCTTGTCCCCACCCTTCTAGGCCGGCCTTGTCACCCGATCAGATGCCAGCCTGAGAACCAGGAAGATGGTGTCTTCTTGAGAAAGGTCAATTCTCCACAGAAGTCATTAATATACGTGGCTCTGCCTGGGGGCAGGACATCTGCACTGCTCCAGTTCTTCCTGGTGTATCAAACCACAGGAGCACTATGTGGGGACCAAACAAACAGGTTGAGACAAAAATCTGGCGATGCCCAAGTCCCTTCAGAGCCAGTGCTCTCACCCAGTGGGAGAATGACTGTGGCCCCTGACGGAGGAGCCCACTGCTGTTTATAAAGGACTGCTTCTTTCCCAACTACCATTTCCTGGGAAAGACAGCTTTAGCAACCAGGCCATCAGATTCTAGTTTCCCTATAACTCTTTCCTCAGTTCTTTCCAAGCATTCATTATACTGCACATTTTTAAAGCACACAATCCACAAGGTAAAATCTTGCATGTTCCAAAGATAACATTCGCCACTGGGCCCATCTTGTGTCTTCTGCCAAATATCAACAGCAGGCTTCCATATACTGGATACACACCCTGATTCTAACAGCACACTGCCAGGTAGGACCTGGACACCCCAGGTTGGACCTGGATATCCTCCCTGCACCAACACAATGGTTTAGAGGTAGAACAAAACGCTGAGTCACTGGAGATGGGGTAGATGAGTGTTCTTACCCTTCTGCTTCAGTGAATCATTTCTATTTGTACCAAGCTGAAAATTCACATCAAAGGATTTTAGAATGGCACAGATGGGGTTTAACAGTAACAGCAAGTACCAAGTGATATAAAAATGATCATTTCTGTGACTCTGACATAATAAAACAAACTGTTCTATGCTATCCCACTGTGGCCCCACAACAGTGTCCCAGCTGCAGATGACACAAGGTCAACCCTGCTATTAGAGTGGAATGAGGTGACTTCAGAACATGCTGCACGATGACTGGTATCCATAACTTAACTTGCACACACAGCAGTGTTTTAACTGCTTCATTTTAAAAACAAAAATAAGCCAGGTATGGTGGCACATGTCTGTAACCACATCCACAGGAGGATTGGGCAGGAGGATCACTACGAGTTCAAGAGCATCCTGGGCTACATAGTGAGTTCGAGCCCAGCCTGGACTTGGTGAGACCCTGTCTCAAAACCAAAATTAACTACTGCTTATTTGATGCTAGAGTTACAGTACTATTGAGAAGAGTCACTGAAGAAAGAACACAAATATGACATATGCCAATTCTTTGGGGAGGAAAACAAAGCAGAAGACAGATCCCTTATGACTATTAATTGTATGGTGATTTTAAAAGAAAACCTGGTAATAGTTTGAAATGAAGATTTTAAACACACCCAACAGCCTCCAAGAATTTGGTTACTAATTGAGATTTTTGCTTTGCTAGAAGCAAATAGTTCACTGTTACCCTTGTTACCGTGAAGCCCCTGCAGTACTGACTCTACCCGATCAAGAAGCGTGGAGGGTTAAAGCACTTTATGTAGAACATTCACGCTGAGTTCACAAATTTTGTGTCATAACAATGCAACATACAAGTCCCCTCACCAAAAGGCTGCCCAAACATCTTATGGACATGGTAGGAAGTACTCAACTAGGTATTTTGGCGAGGTAAAGGCAAATTGCACAAAGCAGACATTGAAAGTGGGGCCTGGTATATGCCCACTGATCTCAACAATAGAGGAGCTACTCTTACTGCAAAATAACAGGTATTTCTTAACATATCTTATCTTGACTGTATTGACACCAAAGAAAAACACTAAAGACCTTTACAGAGGAAAAAATGCACCTTTTTTCATTTTTCACCAAAAGTTGCTAATGTATTGTATTCTGGTGTCAGAGACATGATTGAGGAGCATGCACACCCCTCAGCTTCCCAAGGCATCACATGGGGATGAGGACACTGGCTTGCCCACTCCAGGACAGGATCATCTGGACACTGATTTCAATGGCTCCACATGGACCACAAACAATAAAACACGTGTCACTCATCACAAGCAGGCAGCAGGCCACACTCACAGCTTCAGGCCACTATAAATTAAGGACTTTCCTTGGAGGTCCCAACACCTCCTTATAGGCTGGGCCAAGACAATGCCCCCAGGGGTCAAGGACAGGGCTGCTGTGTCACCACAGCAAGCCACAGAACGTCTCTTCTCGACTCCTTCATGTCCTTGAAAAGTAGGACCTGGATTATCTCCCACAACAGGCAATTTCCAAAGAGGAAACTCTCTCGTGAGATGTCACAAGTCAGCTGTGCACTGTTGTGTTCCTCACTCTGAAGTCTTTGTAGTGTTCCATTTCATAGGTTCCTTCATGACACAGAGGTATGCTTCTTATTCTGAGAGATGATTATAGCCTCACAGACTCCACCAAGGAATAAATACTAATTGAAAACAACTTCTGTGGGATGCAGGGGAGAGGAAGAAAGTACACAAAGGAGAGGTGCTTCTGTTCCCAGCGCCATCTCTCTGGCACTGCAGGGACATTCTGGTGCAGCGAGCCACACCCCGTGTAGGTAGAAGAGTCTCTGTCCCAAGAAGGAGGCTACTTGCCCTCTTGCTTCTCCTGCAGGAGTGGAATGATGGACTCCCACGCCATGAGGCACTGAAATGACAACACACACATAGAATTAGCATCCAGTTTCAGATTTCAGGGTCAGTTTCAACCAATGGCTCTGGTCTACCCTTTCATTGTCAATCCTGCTAGGTCACCTTCGTCTAATGACACCTACATGCATTATCCATAGCTATCATCAACAAGGGAGGTAACAGGTGTTTGTTTGGAATGTGTTACTCCCATCTTTATGAAAAACAGCAATGTCCCTACAGAGCTTACATGCATTCACAGCAGTACATGAAGCCCATACACAGTGAGAAGAAATGGATTCCCTGGAAGAAAAATCTTTCCCTTGAAAGAGCAAAACAAAGATCAGGCAGGAAGCCCTTGATGAGCCCTGCTCAGGTATGGGTAGGGTCGGGCCTGCAGAAGAATATAACCATGAGGCACCTGGCATGAGCCAGCCATCTGAGTAAGAGGGGGTGGAAAACCTGCTCTTCCTCATCAACTTCAGATTGGCTTGTTTGGGCCATTCCTGGGTCACCCAAAAGAGAGAACAAGGGAATGGGACCCAAACAATTGAGTTCCATTATGTCTAAATACTGTTAGGTATTTACATTCGTCATCACTAACCAGTGAGGAGGAAGTAGTATTATTTATTACACACACATTTGCAGTGAAGAAAATGAAACTTGGATTAAATAACTGGCCCAAGACCCACAGCGCATAAAGCACAGAGCAAACTGATCCTTTGTCCACCACGTCAATCCCCTTTTCATTCTAGACCCTTGTGATGGGCCAAGAACCTGCTCAACCCAGCACTGTCCTCTCACAGAAGCCTACTTAGTAGAGGATCCTCCCTCAGAGCCAGGTCTTGCACAAAGGGAAGGAGAGGTCCACTGTACTGGGCCTGTCTTAGGAGGGGGTGAGGAGGATTTGCTTCTGAGTCATCCAGGGATGCGAGAGAGCGGCATCCTCAGGTCACACAGAGGAGGGGTGGTGAAGTTGCTCACTGTCTCCCTTCTTGATGACTCTGAGGTGAAGAGAAATTGGGTTCAGAAGCTTGTCCCATATAAAGAGGGCTGGGCACCCCAAGGAGCTTGCTTCCAGCAAGGGACCCAGAGTGTAGTCCTACTGACTCCCTAGGCCATGACCTCAGATCTGGAAAGATCTTTTTCTATAAGCATGAGGAACTGAGGCCACATCTATCAGCTCTCTTTTTGGTCCTTGAATGTCCTGAGCTCTTTCCTATCTTGGAGACCTTTAATATGATATTCTTTCTGATTAGAACACCCATTCTGCAAGTCTTTTTCTCTATGGCACAGAATAAATGTTATTTCCACAGTTCCAGTTTTTTTGCCCTGGTCTGAATTACAGCCCCGAAGTATTTTCCTCCAGAATCCTTTTCTTTTGCCTTACAATATTTCTTTTTTAGCTGTGGAATTCTTTCACAAATGCCTAACCACCAGTCGACTAAAGGGTGTCATAAGGGCTGTAGTCCTGGGATTCGAGTTATCAATTTTGTCTACCCAATTCCTTGATACACCAAGTACACAAAAAGCACTAGTCAAATACCATGTAGGAGCCAAGGAAAGGCCCCGACAGTGGCCCTGTTTGTGGAATAATGGGAAAACACAGACATAAGACCTGGCTTTGAGTCCTAGGGCTGGGGCTTTAGGGATGCTGAGATTCATCCCCAGAGAAGTGATGAAGACACTGGATCTGGTTGGTTTTAGACTAATGGGAAGGCTGCTGAACAATGAAGGGATGGTGAGAGGGTCAAGGAAGGAAGTAGCATTTATAGAGTACCTACCATGTGCTAGGTATGTTCTAGATACACACATGCATTATTTCATTATCTTTACATTCAGTGTCAAAGGGTCACGCCTATCTTCGAGAGAAACTGAGACGCAGACAGGCATCTTGCCTGACAGCAGTCAATAGAGAAAAAAGCCCTCAATTCATATGGGGTGATCTTCCCACCTTTGGGCAGCCAGTGCTGCTCTGAAAATCACATGCTCATTTCCTAGGGTGAAAGTGTGTGGAAACCACCCAGACTTAAGTACAGTCCTAATTTACTCACTCATGGGCTGTGTCACCTCGGCAGTGCTTTTAAACCTTGCTGATCTATAGTTTCTTCAGTTTTAACCTGAAAATACTAAGCCCTCAACAGTGCGATCTGAAGGGTAATCTAACGAGATGACACACGCAAAGCGTCTGTCTAGCACCAGCCAGGATCACTGCTAGAAGATCCCAGCCACAGAAATGGGAGCAGGGAAAGCAGTGAATTGTGGCTAGCTCATTCTTTAGGCTTTTAAGGAACATCAAATTTTAGGCTTCTAAGAAATATCAAAATTCATCGGCAGAAATGACCTAGAACTGAATATGCTAAGAGCAAACCTTGATTAAGGAGACTGGGGCTGTAGATTAAAGGGATCCATGAATACAGTATTTTTTTCAGCACAATTGTTTTCCTTTGTAACCCTATATATTTTCATTTTAGGTATTTAAAAACAGTACTTTGAAGTCTATTTTTTAAAAAGCTAACAGCTGGCCCAATGGCATATGCTGTAAACACAACTATTGGGTGGCTGAGGATGGCAAGGCTGGGCCAGCCTGGGCAACTCAGTAAGACCCTGTCTCAAAATAAAAAATAAAAAGGGCTGGGGATGTAGCTCCATGATACAACACCCCTGAGCTTGATCCCAAGTACTGGGGGAAAAAAAAAACTGTCTTGTTGTTTTTGCTTTTTTGTGGTATGGGAGCCTGAACCCAGGGCCTTGCACATGCCAGGCAAGCTGTCTACCACTGAATTACACTTCCAGCTCCCTGAAACCAAAGAGTACTTTAAGGATAAGGGGTACATCAGCATCACCAGATGACAAAAGGGATCCAGGGCACAACGAGAGTGCAGGCCCACAAGACGGCATAAAGTAATCCCCAACCTCCATTAACTAACTGGCAGAGCCACATGGCCACTGGCCTGGGCCACCTGTAGGACCAAGGAGCACAGAAGATGAAGCTGCTTCAGGCACCAACGAGTTCAAGGAAAACCCCTGAGTATCCAAGGTCTCCACTGGGTGTGTGCGTGCAGGGGAGCCAGACCCGGCAGGTGAAATAAGGGAGGCGTGACAAGCAGGATGCCCACCTCTGATGACTGGCAGGCCCTTACAAAGGCCTCTGGCTACCAGAAATTAGAGCCTGATGGGCCCACCCCTTACCTTCTCATAATACTGGATGTTCTTGTCAGCCAAGCCCATGAGCAGCTGCCGGAAGTCCTGCCGCTTATTGTTCTGCCACCTCTCCATGTCGGCCTTCAGATCGGCGTTGAAACACTCCACACGATCCTGACACTTCTCCACGTCTGCCGGCACCTGGAAGAGGGACACAGGGGCTTCATGTGTGTGACTGCCCCTCCCGCCTCAACGTCGCCCTCCACTCACACACTGGTGGGAGGCCAAGGTGCTACAGTAAGTGCCTTTTACACACTCCCTCTTCCCAGGCCTCTACCCAAGAGCAGAGCCACAGTTTTGGGGTCTAAGAAGAAGTCATAACTCAAATCTCCTAACCCATTTGGGCAAAACAAGGAAGCCCCCCTGAAAAACAGGAAGATAAACGCTGAAAATTCATCCATACTTCAAAATGCTGCAGACTGCACACACACACACAGCAGTACCGGGTACTGCCCTGCTATTTCCTGTTTCCCATTTTGAACTAAAAAAGAAATAGGTTCTCTCAGATTCCGAAAATGATCCTGTTAATTACATGTTGGATAATGCCCTTCCTTATTCATGGCAACAAGACTACTCGCCAGCTTCCTTCTCTGAACCCTGCATTACAAATAAACTGGACACTTGTTTGTGCTCCTGTAGATAGAGATAATAAAAACAGGTGAGTTACACTTAGATACATCTGGGAAAATTATATGTATCGAAAGAATTTGAAATACAGAGAAGAAAAACATAGCATGCAATTTCAAACTTTTTCTTAAAGGAGTTCAAAAAATGTTCCCCAAAGAGGACTATGTCAACTGAGCATGGTGTACACACCTATAATCCCAGTACTCTGGGAGGGTGAGACAGGAGGAGAATCACAAGTTCAAGCCCAGCATGGGAAACTTACTGACTTAGCAAAACCCTGTCTTGAAATTTAAAAATCAAACAAGGGCTGAGAGTGTAGCTCACTGCAAAGGCCTTTTCCTTGTTCTACTCCACACCACCAAATCTTGTCACTTAAATTTCACAACTTTCACTCCGCTTATGTGGGTTTTGTCCAGCCTACAGGACAAGAGCGTTTTATTCATCCTGATCACAGCTCTCTCCCTTAACGCAAGAGCACCACTGGCCCTTGCTGGTGGCCAGAAGGTCCATATGCCCAAAGCTAGGTCAGACACTTCCCAACAGCAAATGAGGCCTTATAGGTTTTACATTGGGGACAATAAACCCAAATGTCTCCAAACTGTGGGTCACCTTTAAGACCCAATCTTGACCAATCAAGGAAGGTGCTGGGAGTGTGGGGCAAGGAGGGAGCCAGAATACATCAACGTGGGAAGGCCGGACCTGACAGCACTGGACACCTCAGGGGCACTTGGCCATCTGCCACAGTGGCCACCTGGAGGTGACTGAGAATGCAGGCAAAAGGGAAGGGAGTAGCACAGCCAAAGCAGGTGGCACAAACGTGTCCACCATGGGAATCAACCTAGGACTGAGCAAAGATGAAGTCGAGAGAAAGACAATGGAGCTTCCTGGCAACCTAAGAGAAAAGCACTTCGAAAAGAGAAAGCAGCCTCCACGTGGAAAACATTTAGCTTATCACTCTGACAATGCCCTCCGAGTCTGGTACTGAGGAATACGAAGGTCCTGTGGATCTCAACAGGCAAACTTTGTCTCAGGGTGCAAAAGATCTAGTCGAGAGGAAAGAGGAAGAAGCCCAGATGCAAAAGGCAAGTTTCAGGCGCCATCACTGGGGAAGAACTGATGAGGGAGTCCAGTCTGGGGGAAAGATCAGGCTGCCTTCAAGACACAGCACAACTCTCACGACAGAAGTGGGACATATGACAGTGGAGGAAAGGGCACTGCAGAGTGACAACACACGCGAAGGGCAGAGGTGAGAAGACACCTTGCACCACCTGGGGAACAGCTCATGGGCCAGTGTCCAATGGTGTACAGAGAAACCTCCTTCCCCCAGAGACCTGGGGGTCAGGGTAGAGGCTGAGCAGCCTGGAACTCTTCCTGAAGGCCAAGTTTCTGAGGCCCATTTAATTTGTACCCTTTCTGGAGAACAGAAAAGGCCTCATGCTTTCCTGGCCATGGCAGACAGCTCTAGAGCCAAATTTCCAGGGCTTAAAAGCCATATCCGCCACTTACTAGTTATGTGACTTAGGGCCTCTCAGTGCCTCACCTTCTTTTTCTGGATAATCCCAACACTTTATAAGGTTGTTAGGAGGTTAAATGAGATAATACTTGTAAAGCCTGGCCATAATCAATACTTGACCAATGTTTGTTAGTTCACATAGGTATCCACATTGTAAATGACTGTTCACAAAGAAAGAGCATTTGTACAAGTCCCTCAAGTAAGGAATATTTTAATGTGCTTTATTTCATGTATTATCAAAAAAGGGTTTCTTTCCCATTTTACCAATATAGGTTTGATATGTTCCTTCAAAAGCTATGCCATCCTTTGTGCATGCTACCTTGCCTGAGCTATCAGCAGACATCAGAGATGTCAGTGCCAATGTCAGCGCCAAGCTGTACACTGGTATGAGATGGCTTGGCACTCAGGAGCCAGAGCAGTGGCCAAACACAAAAGAGAGGTGGGGTTAAACCAAGGTGGCATAGACAGTCGACACAGTTGGTGACTAGCGGCCAAAGAGAAAAAAGCCACAGGGCACCAGCACAGAGTGGGTATCTAGTCTGGATGAAGAAGTGAGGACAGTGCCACACGGTATTCAGGATAAGGACACATCTGCAAACCAGAGAGAAGACTCATGGTATCCACAGGAAGGATGACCTTCCCTCCCCAAAGGAGGCTGAGACAAGAAAAATGAAAAACAACCCAATTAAAATATAGAGGACTCGAGTTGACATAGAGGTTATACAAATGGCCAGCAAGCCACTATTGCTAATCATTAGGGAAACGCAAGACTAAACTATAATGAGATGCCACCTTACACCCATGAGGGTGGCTACTACCAAAAGAAAAGAACAAAACAAATGCTGGCAATAATGCAGAGAAACTGGATCTCACGATGGAAAACAGTAAGACTATACTTTAGAGGTTCCTCAAAACTTAAAAATCGCCAGATATGATGGTGCAAACCTGTAACCCCAGCATCCTAGGAAACTGAGTCAGGAAGACTTAAATTTTGAACCTAGGCTAGGCAACTCAGTGATTTAGGGAAAAGTCTATCTCAAAAATAAAAGAGGCTGCAGCTGCACTCCCCTCCAGGACCCCCACACACACTTAACAGAATTACGTGATCCTGCTGGTTTCCACCTGTGAGTATAGATCCAAAATAACTGAAAGCGGAATCTCACAGAGATATCTGCACGCCCCTGTTTACACTCGTGTTATAGGGTATTAGCCTCAAAGAGGAAGGAAATTCTGACACAGGCTACAACATGGAGGAACCTGAGGATCTAATGCTAATGTAAAACCAGCCAGTTACAGAAGGACAAATAGTATATGACTTTACTTACATGACTGGTAGAAACAGAAAGCAGAATGATGGCTTCCAGGGGCCAGAAGGAGGAAATGAATGCAGGGTTTCAATTCTGCAAAGTGAAGCTTTCTACAGACCGGCTATAAAACCCTGTGAATGTATTTAATACCACTGAACTGTACACATAAAACGATTCATAGTTTTCTGTTATATGTATTTCACTCTAACTAAAACCATTTAAAATATATGAAGAAGAAAATAGATGGGACTGAGGAAGGCAGGACTTAGGGTAGAACCATAAAGAACTACGTTCTTTAGAATTAATAAAGGCCTAGGCAAAGGTCAGTATGAAAGGTGGGCACACAAGTGAATCAAAGAGAACAGAGCCAGAGAAGCCCGAGGAGAGAGGGAGTCAGAGGTCGGAGCAGCCGGAGGGTTTACGCAAAGGAAGTGGCTGCCCTGTGTGAGGTGAGCAGCGTGGGGTGCCCCACTGTAAGCAGAAGAGGACTGCAGGAGCTGACACTCAGCCTGCATTCTTTCCCCTTGTTTTCCTTGTGAATAATGTCCTGTGACAATCGGTTTACTGACCAGTAGCATCCAGCATTGTTTCTTAATGTTTCTGTTTTCATAACTGTGGCAGTGTTCAAGAGTCCCATATCCTGGGTCTGAAGGATACTGAGGTGGTAATATCCCATGCTAACAGTTAACTGTTATTTATTATAAGACACCAAAAAACAAAACAAAACACAATATCACGTAAAATTGCAAAAGTTAAAAATTTCTAAATTTAGGATCCCCTGTCTCTCATGAAAATTCCCATTACAAAACACGAGTTGGTTCGGTGTTGGGAAAGGTGAGATGACACTGTACATTTTTGTGTGTTAGGGAGCAGGGCGATAAACAACATTTACAACATTCATTTAAAAAGTATGCTCGAGCTCTTTCCCTACCCAGGGCATTTCCAAGCCTGACATATAAATCTCTTACCTCACTTTCTTTCCCGAAACTAGGACATCACATCACAAACCCCCGTGAAAACAGCAAGTTAATACAATCCCCCATGACTATACAAGCAGACAAAACTCCAAGACCTGGGAGAAGGGAACACATGGCTTCTGTGGGGCAGGTTCTCAGGTGTGTGACAGGACCAATTTAAGACACTGGCCTCCTCAGCAGAGGCTGCTGAGCAAGCAAGGGGAGCAGAGCTTCCCCAGTGAACAGGAATGGCAGTGACACTGATACCCATGCTCTCAGGGAGGCCAAATCCCCCAGGCCAGTGACCGCCACCTTCAAATAAGCTGGTCTGCTTAGCACAGTGTGCCATGCAAATATTTTCAGTTTCTATGGGAGAAAATCCTGGCATAGGGTTAAACAAAACAGAAATTTAGGAGCATGGCAGATGAGCAACAGCAGAGAAGTGAGTGCTTACCATGAGGCAGGAGCCCACACAGTGAGAACTGGACAGCAACCAGCAACCAGAACCACAACTCAGAGAAGCTGGGAAACTCAAAGACTGGTCTGGTCTCTCTCGAGGGCCCATCTCTGCATGCCTACAAAGCCAGAGCCCAGTATGGCACACTCAGAGGCTGACATAGAAAGATCACAAGTTCAAGGCCAGTCTGGGCAATTCAGGGAGACCCTGGTCTCAAAAAAGTAATTAATTATTTTTTAAAAAGATGGGATGTAGCTCAATGTGAAGGACCATGCTTCAATCACCAGCCTCACCAAGAAAAAAACAAGCAAGACTCCTCCCCTCACCAGAGCAGTCTGTTGGGAGCCTGCTGTGTAAGGAGGAAAGACCACTAGCTTCAGCATCTGTGAACTTTGGCATATAAATTATATAATTCCTGAACTATGGCTCCTGTCTATAAACTGGGAGCAACCACACTGACAGAAGGCTGGAGTTAGAGAGGACAAAGGAAGAAGGTGATAGAATTCTGCTCTCCTTTGGCTGAATGCATCTGGCTTTCTAACCAGGCTGAGGTCACAGCCGCTGTAGACAGAAGTGGGTAACACCAGGCCTCTCTCTCCTCACTTGGTAGCCTAGTTAGTGCTCTGGCACAATGAAGGCCAGTATGGAGCACTCTCCCTGGTGTGTCTCAGAGCCAGTGCGCTTGCTGTCTGCCACACCCCCCACATTACGGAGCACGGGCCATTCGCATGAGTCTAAGAGCTTTTAAAGCTGTAAGCTGCTAAGAGGCTTGACTAAGTATGGCCAATTCCTACTCTCCTTCCCTATCCCCGCTTAACCGAAGAAGCTATATCCTAGTTTCTGTTCCCATTCATCTTCGCACAACATACCCACTCACCTCCACATACCACTCGTATCTCTACAGTAACACATCAGCCATGCTTGCTCACCACCCCCGTAACACACCTGCCATGCTCACTTACTTCCACAAGACACCTGCCCACCTCCATATATGCCAGGCCTGCTCATCTCCACACACTCCCACTGTTCTCCACCCTGCCATGTCCACTCACCTCCCCATGACACATCTCACTTCTGATGAGCAAGACCTTGTGTCAAAAAACCAAAAACTTAAAAATAAAAATTGAAGTAAGGAAAGCTAAATCTACATAATGTACAGCTACATTTGCCTGAAAATAAACCATCTTACTATTTGCTGAGTTTCCTTAAGCCTAAAAACAAAACAAACCTTAAAATTCTATTATCTAATATTTCACTCAGCTCCTGCTCCCGACCCAACAGCTGGAGTCACGGGGTTTGCTCCTTCATCCTAAAGAAACATCATCCTAGAACTCTTCTATCGCAAACCACCACCCCAATTTGAAATCTGAGACACGAGTCATGCAGTGCTGTGAGGCCACTTCCTGTGAGTTATAGAAAAGCAATCAGATTCCCATTCTATTCTGCAGTTTCACAAAAATCAATACTCCCTCACTGTTTGGGCCAACTTACCAACATTTCACTTCAAAACAAGGCTCCCAGATCCCCTCGGCTCTTCTATTAATACAGTCATGCCTGGGGTCCTCTCCTCCCTGGCATCCCTGCTTCACACCTGTGAGCAGTGTCCCTCCCACTGCTGTTTTCCAACAATAGAACTGGTAGAGTCCTTGGCTCTGCTCTAACCTTCTTCCTGATACCCTGGCCTTTATCTCATTGACAGCTGCTCTGGTTTTATAAGTGCAAAACCACTTAAGCACAAAAAAATATGAAGCTACTCATTTCCTAAAACATCTGTCAACATGTGTATGAGCTGTCAGGAAGGAAGTGTGGGGCAGGTGGGAAGCAGGAAATCTAGAGGATGCAAGGAAATTGCCAAACATCAAAAAAGCATTCTATGACATTCTTTTCAGTGAGTTTAAGGCATGGGCTCAGCAGATAGCATTGTGTTCCAGAATAACACAGGGACAGCTATAAATCTTCCAATGGGTCATACAGTTGCACACCTGGCTAGATTCCTACTATGGTGTCCCTCATGACACACAGGACTGAGGGCTGACAGCCTACAGTAAGAGGAGCAAAAGGTAGAGTGTCCCAGCCACCTGCAGTGGGTCAATGCCAAAGTCTTAGTCTTAGCCCCCTTTCCATGAGTGGAGTCTCATTCTGCACCTGCTCTCTGTCCCACTGGTGTGGATCACCATGGATGACATGTGGATCAATACAACAAACACGGATAATGTCCCTACTGTGTGTACAGCATCAGAAAAGCTACGTAATTTATTGAGCAGCTTTTTGACTCATTCTGTTATCCATGAAATGGGAAAGGACAAATCTTCCCTCTGGGCCTCAGATGACTAGCAAGCTGATCATGTGATGCAGTAATATTAAAAAGCACTACATAATGCCAAGCCGTGCCATTTCTGAGGTCCCAAAGCTGGTTCCTCTCTAGGTACCTGTCAACAGGGTAGCAGGAGCAAGAACCAAGGCAGAGGAAAGACAGTGGGATGGACAGAAAGAACAAGGGAGGGAGGGAGAAAGAGGGAAGAAAAGTTCTGATGTCAAACTACTTCCCAGAAAGTTGGGTCCCTATTACTATCTTTTAAATAACATGCTACCTCCACCCTTTCTGTGAAAATAAATACACCTTCCAGTTATAAACAAAAAAGAAGTAGAACAGCAAAGTGGTAATGACAGAGTCTATTGCTGGACCATAGGATATGCTCCTAGCACTCAGTTGCTAATTATGTGATCTGTGCCCTGCTTTGTTCATCTCTCAAACGGGAAAAATGACACCTAAAAACATACACTGTTATAGGGAAAAAGGAAACTCTACATTTACACATAGTTTAGCACACTATAAGTACTTACACACTGGCTACCATTACTCATTTTTAATCATGGATGGATGGAAAGAAAAGCAATGAATGGAATGGCTGTACAATAGATGCATTTTACACTTATGACCCTCTATTTCAACACAGAACTCTGGAGCCAGAAGGCAGCACACCCTAGCTAGACTACTGTCTCTCAAACCCAGTAGGGTAAAGGACCATTTCTGTTAGTTTTTTCCCTAAATCCAACAAAGCTGTAATCCCACTGCAAATGATCAGCATAGAAACTCACCCTGTATGCAGTTCTGCAAGCAGGTGACCACATGCATCAGTGTTTGACAAGGTGTTGAACTGCTGCTGCAGCACTATCAAGTTGCTACAGAAGTTTTCTAAATGTTTTCTGTCTGTCTTCTGTCTCCCTGTCTCCCTCCCTCTCCCATCTCTTTCTCTCTCCCGTTTCCATGCCTTTCTCCTCATGGGTTGGCAACAGTGTGTGGGCCCATCCACAAACCTCACCTGGAGTGCAATGATCTGGACTGTTCTTCCTCCTATCTGCAGTGCCATTTTGTGGAGTCAAAAAGCATCAATAAATGTCAGGACTGCACGACTTATTTTAAAAATATCCCAGGAAAACTCAACTCTAAGTACACATTAGGAACTCACAAAAATAAAAGGGAGCAAATGAGGAAAGTAATAACATCAACTCAACCCAACTGGTGCCGATCACCTTAATTGCACAGATTGAGGATGAGAATTACTGAGACCAACAGGGAAATGACAGCTTTCAGCCTGAAGCAGCCCAGCCCTTGGCCCCTGACCTTGGGGCGGTCTTCCTTCCTCAGAGCCACGGCTTCCAGTTTGGCTTCATATTCTGCTTGAACTTGATCTCTCTTCTTCAGTACACTCTGTGGGAGGCAGAGAAGAAACATGTAACAGGGAGTCTGCAAAGCCCAGGCAGTAGCTTTGCTAGCCCAGCCCTTCCCAAATCCCAGCACCAGCCAGGCCCAGCCACACGCTCCCAGGCCAGTCTTCTCATGGGACAGAAGCTGTGATGTGATGTGACAGACTGGAGGAAGCAAGGGAAAGGAGGGAAGGAGACTCATTCTTGGAGATGAAGCTTTTCTGGGCAGTAACTCCCCAATACTGAGAGTAAAATACTTGAGAAGAGAATGAGAAGAAACAGTGTCCACCTACTGTCACACTGACAGCAGGATTCAGTCTCACCATGCACATAAAACTCAGCTGTGTATGAAGCTGGGGCCTCACAGCTGATGACACACTACATTCTCTGAACTCAGTGGAAAAGTTTAAGTCAAGAAGTTTTTTTCTGAAATATATATAACATTACAGTATGGCTAAATTGAGCTAATTAACATGAATCACCTCAAAAATTCATTGTTTAGTGGTAAGAATATGTAAAATCAATGCTCTCAGTGATTTTAAGAATAGGATACACTAATTATAGTCACTGCTGCATACAACAGAAGTGAGAAATTTTGACTCCTTAATGCATTGAGTTGACCCCTGATGAACTGATTTATTCATTGACACATTAACTGCTTCTCTGTCTTCTCCTCTGGATAAAATATACAAAGAGCAAAAAGGAACAGTCTTTACTGAAGGGTTCAACCTGAGAGAGGCGCACACATAGTTGTGAGGCTGGATGTGCTACAAGAGTTACGCGTGTATGAGTCTAGTATCCTAGTTCGACAGAGTCAGCCTGCACAAGTGAGTGGAAAGTGAGCAAAAACAGGCCCAGGCCCAGGCCCAGCCCAGGTAAGAGCAAGGTGAGCCAAGACAGGTACTCAAGGTGCAAAATACAAGACGACCTTCACTCACAGGCTCATGCTAGCAGGTCAGCATGTTCCAGTGACTGTCACCTTACATTGGTGCCTGGGCCCGCCTTTTACCTCACCTAGTCTCAGCTCTGCTACTAAGACCCACCAAGCAAAATGGAAAAGCTTGCAGCAGACACCATCAAAAAGGTTACTCATTTTATCGAAATGTGGCTCATTTTAGTAAATCTTTTCTTCTAGTAGAATCACAAATGGCAAATCAAGAATGGGAAGAAAATTTCTTCCCCACTAACTCAGAAGTCACAGGTTGCTATGAAAGTTTTTAAATGTGAATTTTCCCTCAGCAAGCAAGATCTTCTCACAGAGCACAGTCACAGGATGGAGCCATTCCTGGGCTAGCAGGGCGCACCCTGGGTCTCCAAGCTGATGAGTGACTGGCCAGTTGAGAGTAGTCTGAGGCCAACTTTTTAACAGAATGTAGAAGGGAATCCTGGGAACCCAAGTCTTCCCTTGAAATAAGAATCTACTGTGAGGAGTGTTCTGCCACAAAAGAGCATGAATTAAAAGCGATAGTCATTTACTTTTTATGACGTGTCACTCATCCTTCTCCTAAGGGCTCTAACCTCTGCTCCTTACACTCATTAATCTGCAAATAGCATTACCTACAGTGCCGTTCAAGAAAATGCTTTGCTATGATGCAAAGATTCCACTGTCTGTACTAATACAAAGTTGTGAGTTTGATCCCCAGTACAATCAATCAATCAACAAAATGAATAGGGAAACAGGGTCTGAGACAATGTGAGCACTAACTGGATATACGACCATAGTAAGGAACTTGCTTTTACACCTAGGTGTGATGACAATGTGGTTCTTCTTCATTGTTGAAAGAACACTGGTATTTTACAGATATGTACTAAATATTTTTGTATAAGATGAAGTGATGTTCAAAATTTGCTTAAGCTAGGTATGGTGGCCAATGCCTGTAATCTCAGCACTTGGGAGGCTGAAGCAGGAGGATTTCCATGAGTTTGAGGCCAGCCTAGCTACAAAGTGAGTTCAAGGCCAGCCTGAACTGCATAGTGAAACCCTATCTCAGAATGACAGAAAGAAAAAAAAAAAGGCATTTGGTTTAAGATAATAAAATGGGCAGGAGTTGGGAGTGGGTAGGAGCAGAGATAACAAGATGGATCACGACTAGACAACCCCTTTTTTCTCTATTTTTTCAACTTTTATTTTTTTATTGTATTAGTACTGTGTAGCACAATTCATAATAGCTAAAAGTTGGAAGCAGCCTATATGTCCATCAATAGATAAATGGATAACGAAATTACAGGATTATTACATAACAGAGTACTAGTCTGACATAAAGAAGAATAAACTTGATTAATCTGTAGGAAAACGGATGCCCCTTGGGACTATAATGGTACGTGAAGTAAATCAGACACACAAGCTCAAATATCACCTGCTTTCTATTATACAATAAACTTTTATTTATAAATAAAAGACAGACCATAAGAAATAGGGAGATAGGCATTTTGTAAATGATAGGGGGCCAAGAAATGGAGGGAAATGGAGGAAGTAAGGGAGTGGAAAAAGATAAAAAATAACTAAGATGTGTTATGTACATACACCAACTTTCCTTCAGTAGATGGCTCTTAAAAAGTTGGCTGTGGTGCATGGAGGTTTGCCAGACTTTCACTCAACTTCTGACATATCTGAATTTTTCTATAACAAAAGGTTAAACAATGGAAGTATAACCCTTGTCATCTGAAATGCTTACAGTGATCATAGAGTGGCCATGAGGAAGTCTGTAACGATGTCATCATGACATATTTATGGCAAACAGCCTTAACTTCACAATGGTAAAACTGTCTGGTTGAGTTAAGAGAACTGATATTCTGTGGCTCAGCTCCCAACAACATCACTGGATTATTTTTTTCAGAAAAATACCACAGTGGTCAGTAGCTACAGGAAAGCTCAGTGTTCCCTCCCAGAGCTCACACCCATGTCTTCCCCTGGCACAGCTGTGGGCTCGCAGACTGTGGAGGGGGAAAGGCAGCCTAAAGAGTGCCTGACACAAATGGGTCTGTAAAGCTTGTAAGCTTGCAATCTTTATGTAAGCGGGGCTGTGCGAGACTCTGAAAGCAGCAGGGACAACTGAACCAAATGCAGATGGCGGAAGAACACAAGGATTCACACGTCCATATACCCGAAGCTGACAACCCCAAACAAAGATCCCAGAGCAATTTGTGTAGGACAATGGATGTTCACAGTAACAAAACAAAAGCACCAATGAGAATAAAACTAAAACACCCAACAAAGCCCTGTGGCCTATCTGGGAGAGCATCTTCCTGTAGGTAGCAAAATGCATGACTTAGCCCTGGTGGTACCACATTTCTTAATCAATGACTCAGTTCAGGCCACTCCTTCTGATATGCTCCTTCTCCACATTCATGCTGTTGAAAATGAGACCAACTGTGAGTTAAATGTTCTTGGGCAATGTTGGTAATAGTGAAACCACACATTTCCCCTCTAATGTTAACTAATTTTAAAAGAGCTGTTACAGAAAAATAGAAAGGACAGGGGGAAAGCATCTATCTCTCTTCTCTGAAACATAACTAGCAATACTTTATGACTTTATCACCAGTCTCTCTTGCACAACTTCTTTGATGTTTCTTATTTCTCTGTGGTCTCCTCCTGCCCTTCTATTACTTAGATGTAATAATATAAGCTGTAACACCACACAATCAATACGCCTCCTGCTTCCCGCCTCCTGCCTCCCTCATTTTGCAGAGCATGGAGAAGGGACTGTGACCTCTGTGTAAGGTGGGAGGAGAGAGCCAGAAGCTCTTGCTGATTCTTATACACACGCTTGGCTTCATTCGCTCAGCTCCATATCCTCCCTCCAGCCTCCATCCTAGAGGGGCTGGTACTTAGAAAGTTCTGTGGTACAAAACAGAAACTGTCAGGGGTTTTTTCCCATGTTAGCTTTTTTGAGTCATCTAAATCACTTCTCACTTATCAATATATTTTCTAGTTCCCCAAATTATATTGCTATTATTTCCCTGTTTGTTGCTTTATTATCTTTGTGGACTTAATGTATCATTTAAAAAAAAATCCTTGTAGTGTCACTGTGGTGGGGTTTCACAAAGGAGAGGAAATTTAAATATGTATTCATTTTGCCATCACTGGGAATCTCAGAGTTTTAAATTTTTATATTTTCCTTACTTTTAAAAATCTTTGACATCATCATGTATATTTCACATCCTGCTTCTTTATCCTTTCACTTTAAATTATAAGAAATCAGTCCCTACATCTATAATCACTTTTGTTAGGAAGGGGGATTTTTTTTCTTGGAAACTCAATCTTCCAGAAAAATCTCCATTTCAGCTTTTGAGAGGCACTGAAATAGCCAACCTAAAGCAAAAGCTGTTGATGTCCCTGTTGACTCAGTGGCTCCTCCTTGTGTCTCATTAGGGGAAAAGTGGGTAGGCTGAAGGAAGCAGCTGTTGGAAAGGAATCATCTTGAAATGTTGCTAAGGCTTCTCCAGCTCCAAGGTAAACTTTATCTTTGGATCACAACTATGTCTTCCATATCTCACATCTCTAATCGTGATTGTCAACATCTGTATTATTAAATCCAATGGTCACTATTTACCATGCCTTTTCTCCTTAGATATCTGCAGCCATCAAACTCATTTTTGCCTGAGAAGCTTTGCAATAGGCACTTATTTTACCTAAAATACTCCATCATCCAATCCCTGCACTGCTAACTCCTCTGTTACTCCAGTGCCAGCCAATCCACTTTCCCCATGTGGTTTTCCTTTACAACCCAAGCTTTCATCAGACCCTCAACTCACCAGTAACCTCCACAACCTCTGAGATTAGTATGTTCACTCACAATAAATCTATCTCTTAAAAATAACAAGATGTTCAACATGCAGTAGTTCTACAGCTATAAACTGTGGAGGACCACCTGGACGGTTCTCCTTGAAAGAAGAGCATTTGGCCCTACCTCCCTGCACTGATACGTACAGAACTAGCTAGGTTATTTCCTTATCTCAACTGGCTTTAAGCAATGTACATGAGTATAACCAAGGTGCTGATATGTAGTCCCTGAAACAGTGCAATAGGTCAGTCAGTGATGCCCCGCCTACAGCTCCCAAGTAGTAGCCAGGCCAGTGACCCACACCACCACAATGTCTGCTAAGACTGAGTTTCACGCTGAGCTTTGAGAAAAAAGCCATGACATCCAGGCATGAGGATTACACATCAAAATGGAAGCACCAGTCCCAAAAGACTAGATACTGCCCCAATTTGTGATATGCAGATTACACCTCTCTCTCTGCATATTACAGAGATGATTTCAGGGCTCCTACTTAGCCCAGGTCACAGCACCCACAAATTTCCTGCCTTTCTCTCAGTCATTCATCCATAAGCCACTCCCCTCTTCACAAATTAATAAAACCCACGTTGGGCTCTGGGTCGAAGCCTTTGTTAGCCATCATTCTAGCTGGACTTAGGACCCCCTTTACTTCCCACAACTACAAATATGCCTTAGTGTGTTTATTCTCTCGTGGAACGCAGTGAAGTGGTAGACTGGAATTACTGCAATTCCAGTAACTTTTCCCTGGGATTACAAATGTGGACTCCTCTGGATCACAACAAGGTCCTGAAGGACTTTCTACATACACGTTCCAAATTCACTGAATATCAAATTTGATCAAGTATGTGCTGATCACCTTCTATATATAAGGCAGTGTGAGAAATAGGACAATTCTGATCTAACATTCTTTTTTTTTTTTTTTTTTTTTTTTTTGTCTTTTTCCTTTTCATTGGTACCAGGGATCGAACCGAACTCACGACTGCCTGCTTGCAAGGCAGGCACTTAGGCCGCTGAGCTAAATCCCCAGCCCCATGATCTAACATTCTTAAATAAAGCTTTTCCACCTCTTGGCCTGGTCCTAATGACTCCAATCCTCAAAAGGCATGGAGGCATCTGGTGGAAGGACTCTAATAAGACGGTCTACTCCAACAGAGTCCATAGGAGGTGAAATTCCATACAAGGGCTCACAAGGGCTCACATCTTACAGATATTTAACTAGAGTGTCCTCCCCTCCATGCTCTGTGCACTATCCCTCCCTACATCCTTAGTAAGATACAAGCCTTCAACCATTCTTCTTGTACAAACTGTTCTGAATGTTCACTGCCTGAAAGTCTCACTGCCCCATTTGTTCCACGTGGCCTGATAATGATCCTACTTTTTCTTTGTTCTCTCTCTCTCTACCTTCAAGGGAAACAGAACGTACCCAACTACAATTGTCCCTAAAGAGATACAATTTGAGCCCAACCTTGGAAAATCAGAGAGCACCCAGTTTTTCCCTGGCAAGTAGAAAACACATAGCTGTTGGGTGGTGAATCACCAATGAGTACTGTCTGGGGTCACAGGCCAGAGACTTACCTATAGGTTCTGTTTCTTTCTCAATCACATGAGCGAATAAAACAAAATGACCCCAAAAGCCCTTTCATGCTTAGAGGAACCCCAATGACAGTCCCATGAGGAAAGGGCTTCAAGGAGCCTCTGCAATGTCCCCACCCCTGGATGGACCAACTGGGGAAATTCCTAAGGCAGAGGCTGCTGCCTCCAAAGGAGAGAGAGAAATTCTCACCTGGCTTTTTCCACACCAAGATAAAGGAGGAGACTGACAAAACATCACCACACAACTCCCCTCCAAAACACCACCAGGATTTCCTCCGTTCTAAAATCCATCTGGCCACTGATGAGGAGGAGTATGTCACAGCCAGGCCATCAGCAAGTCCTTTATTCTAATGTTACTTTTCATAATGAATAACAAAGTCACATTTAAGACATCAGAGAGCTATTATGAAAATCAAATTATAAGGGGCTGGGGGTTTAGCTCAGCGGCATAAGCGCCTGCCTTGAAAGCAGGCAGTCGTGAGTTCGATCCCCGGTACCGATAAAAAGGAAAAAGACAAAAAAAAAAAAAAAAAAAGAAAGAAAATCAAATTATATAATTCTTTTAAAGAAATAAAATATAATTAAGAATTTTTAAAGAGCAGCAATGTTCAAAGGTAGGAGAGCCACTGCAGACACTATCACTGTCCCGATGTCCTGCCCTGGCCACACAAACCCTGGCAATCCCCATGCAATCTTGGCTTTGCCATGAAGTCCTTTGGATCTGGCCCACAGCACTCTGCAGAAATGTTTCCTTATTGCAAAAAGGGGCACTGGGTGGCCTTTTTTGTTACTAACTGCACCTGGCTCAGCTCACTGTGGGGCATGGCTTGGGTCTGGGAGACCACTGGTTAACAATTCTACTTCACAGACTCTTTCCCAGGTAACACTGTCTGCAATCTCCTCCTCCCAGGCTCATGAACCTGACTGCATTTTTTTAAGGCTCAGTAAGCAAAGTAATGACTACACCTACCTCACACATGGAGTAAACAAATGTTTCTTGGATGCTTAACTTTAATTACACAATAAATTTGCTGTCTTAGTTACTTTTCTCACTGTTGAAACAAAATACTTGACACCCAAAGTGAAAGGAATAAATGTTTATTTAGCTCAGTCTGTGGAGGTTTTAGTCTGTAATCAGCTGGCTCCAAGACTAGGTGGCCTCAAATATGGTAGGCAGAAGGTAGCAAAGCAACAAGAGACAACCACAGCTCTTTCCACCTCTTAAATCTTAGCCATGCTAATTGCTCTTAAACCCAGCACTGCACCATGAATCAGTCACAGTGTCACTCTAGATCTGATCACCACTGAACAAGTCTCACCTATGACCAAATGAAGCTTTGGGGGGAAACATCTACACACAAGCTGTAACACTTCTCACACAATTTAATAATGTTTTAATAAAGATGCTAGATAAATTCTTCCTAAGCAACACTTTAAAATCCTGGTTCAATTACAAATACATATTAAACGCTAACATAGTTGCTACATGATAGAACAAAGTAATCTATAGTATAAAATCCAGATGCTGTATATGCATTGGACTTTTAGTTTGAGCAAGGTTAGGAAACATTTTGATGAAGGTTGTGTCTTTCATATAAAAGACAAGCCCGGGGACACCCAGAGATTATAAAATTTCATTTTTTATTAATAGAAGACACTATTAATTACGTTAGTGAAATAGAGTATTTTGGTTCATTTTAAGCAAGTTGGGATGCCTTTCTATACTTGTTTCAGCCAAAGGCTTAAAAATGCAATGTGTATTTCTCTATGTTTTTTTAAAGGCAATATGATAGAGGAAAGCTGCAAATTCGGAACTAAAAGTTTTGATTTTTCAGCCTCAGTTCCAATAATTACCACCAAAGCTACCTCCAGCTTAAAATCTCGCCTCTGAGCTTTTCCTGTCACCATTCCTGTTCTGCCCTACAGATAAGGAAATTCATACTATCGTCCTACTCACGGGAGATCTAGACACAAGCCTGTCTGTCTCTGGAAGAATTTCACTAGCACCTGTACAGGGCATATGTCACACTGTGATTACACCTGGAACAGCACCCACTGTTCACCACCAGCACCTTAAAATGGATCGAGAGCTGCAGCACACTCAAAGCTGAAGAAGTGAGGAAGAATGAGGCTGGTGTGGACGGGCAATGGTCGTACTATTACTCTCTGCTCTTGGGTATGCTTGAAAATTGCCATAAGAAAGTTTTTAAAAAGTTTTTATTACTTCTTGATTCATTTTTCATCCTTCCCCTTTATCTGTAGAATATCTTTATAGTTTTATGATTTTTCTGGTATTCTATGTGTGAATTGACAGGTTTCTCACTAGATTTGGGTCAGCTGGTTTGGTTTGGTTTGGTTTGATTTGGTTTGGTTTGTTTGAGACAAGGTCTCACTGTGTAGCCCAATTTGTCCTTAAACTCACTATGTAGCCCAGGTTGGCCTCAAATTTGTAGGGATTCTCCTGCTTCAGCCTCCCAAGTGCTGGGATTACAGGCATGTGCCACCACACCAGGCTGACAATGACTATTAAAAGAAAGTACCTAAGAAACAAGCCAGCTTACCTTCATGGAGTCAGAGTATAAAATGTATTCCCTGAGCACAGGTAGAAAGTCTTCTGTCATGTCGTCTGTCAGCTCTTCCAAGGCTGCAGAGCAGTTTCCGATGCAAGCTGACACACCCTCCAGGGGCTCTGCCAGCTCACCCTCTAGAGCGCTCCACGTGGAATACACAGGCCCGTATTCTTTCAGCTCTACAAGGTAGTCTGATGGGGGAAGAGAAACTATCAAGACATGCCTGGGGAACGAATCAGGTATTACTGACCTGGGAATCACCACAGCCAAGAACTTCCTATCTAAGATATTATTCTTGGCCATTAACTCAGCTGAAAACAGAATACAACACTGTTTCTAACATAACTTTTAAATCTTCTGAAAGCTGATGTTACAACTGACATCAGAACACCCAGGCCTCTGGATACCACGAACCACAGTGCCTTATGGAGGAGAACGGTGAGAATTATCTTCAAAAATAAGCATTTGTTCACCCATACTGTGAAACCATGTTTTCATTGGCACTGGGAAGAAACCTTCATGTTAGTTTAGGAGGCATTTTTAGAGGCAGAAAAATCAATCACAGTGGTAAACAATGGGATTTCAGGAAATGTTCTGCTAGAAGATGTAGAGTCTTCCGCAAGCAGGCTCACTCAGTGGCTAGTCCACACCATGGTCCTGCCAGCATTTCCTCCGCATGATGCTAAGGTGTGGGTGGCACTCAGAGCTATCTTTGTAGGTCCTGTAGAGTGTCACCACTGGATAAAGAATGGGAGAAAGTACAGGGAACAAGAAAAAAATATTGCTTTCTCCCGCTTACAAGGAATAATCTGACCCTTCATTTGTCCCTTGGATTCTTATTATTAGAATTAAATGGTCTTGTCAGTGTGTAATTTCCAACAAATGAAACTGCTGAAGAATCCTTTGCAATGTGTCTCCTGTCAGCCTGATCATTAACACTGTTCAGGTCAGGCATGGTGGCACACCTTTGTAATCCCAGCACTCAAAAGACTGAGGCCAGAGGACTGCTGTGAGTTCAAGGCCAGCCTCGGCTACATAGTGAGTTTCAAGGCCAGCCTTAAGGCTGCACAATAAAACCTTGTCTCAAACAGACCACCAAAAAAAAAAAAAATCACTATTCAGGTTTTCCTGGCCTGTATCTGTGTAGTGAGACAAAGGACCCCAACATTCAGAACAAGTGGCCATGACAGGAGTGGGAAGGCAGTGGCAGCAACAAGAAGGACGGGTGAACACAGCCTCTGGCAACTCCCCAAACTCAGGAGAGGGAGTATGAAAGGAAAGAGGTGCAGGAAGGGTGAGCAGACGTAAACTTAAAAGTTCATCAGGGCCATTACCTTGGCAAACACAGGTCACCATGCTCTGCTTTTGAACCATCCTTCTGCCAGAAAAGGTAACTAGATTTGCTTTTAAAAATTACAATCCTATGGGTGAGGGGCAACTGAGTCCACATTTCTACTTTTTAAGCTAAAGTCAAGAAGAATAAAAGGAAGAAAGACCTGAAAGCTCAGAAGTATTTGCTTGATATGGGAAAAGCCACACAAAGTTGAAATGTAAGACAAAGGATGGAAGGAAGAATCACAGCCTCATCTTCCCCTTCCTGCATTTGTATTACACGAGAAATATGGCCTAGTTCTGTCACTGTCATGTTTCTGCAGTTTGAATTTGCTTAGCTTGATGAACGCCACCCCTACCACTGTGGTCCCTGGGCAGGATCAAGAGCCTCAACAAAGAGCTCACCTATTTCTTCTTTGATGATCCGCTGCGCTATCCGATCAATGGTTCCCAGCTTGAGTGCAAAAGTATCTAAGTATTCGCCGATGGCTGCAAACTCCAAAGGCCGACTCCTCAGCTTGTAGCCTCCAGTGACGTGCTTGACCGACTCACCCACTCTGGTCAGCAGTGCCATCCCCTGCTTCCTGTAGGCGTTCAGGTCCTAAGGACAACACGTGAACAAAGCACCCAGTCACTCGCACAGCCAAGATGAACTGAGAGCCGCTTCTATTTGGAAATGGAGAGAAGACGACTTAGAAACCAGAAGCCGAGTTAGAAGCCCAGGCCACCCTCACACAAGTGTCCCCTCCTTGACATCATGACCTCCAGACCCACATGCCATGTGCTCACGTCCTTATCCCTGTGGACAGAGCTGGGTTCTGATCCCTCCCCTAGGTTCACTCACCTCAGGACTCAGTCCCTAAAACACAGTGCTGCTTCTAACACAAGTTTAAAAATCTCTGACAAGGAAGGAAGGGAGAGGGGGACCCACCCTACACTTTAGGAGCAAAATTAAGGCGCTGAGATTCTAAGATTCATTCCATTAACTTATCTACACACCAACTAAAGCCTTGAAGGAGAGTACAAGATGGAAAGCAGAAACCAGGGACCCAGGAAGCACTGCCAGCAAACTTGGCAAGGACAGATGGCGCTAATGAGAAGATATTTTAACTCTGAATTTCTTGTAGGTCAAGGCAAAAGCAGGAAATATGCTGAGTGTTAGAACGCACTGGATCTAAGTTTAAAAAGCATATTATGAGGCTGCCAGGTAAAACCAACCTCTTCTTGACACTAATCTGTTTAAGAAGAATGTACAGTTGTCTTGAGTGTGTCCCTTCAACAATAGCTTTTATAGTCCAGGTGTGGTGGTGGCATATGCCTGTGATCCTTTCTCTTGGAAGGCTGAGGCAGGAGGATCACTGTTAGTACAAGGCCAGACAGTGAGACCCTGTCTTCAAAAAAACCAAAAAATAAAAACAATAGTTTTTATGGAAGATGCAGAGGTCTGTTTATCTTCTCCATCATCCACACAAGCAAAAATAATACTGAACTAGGGCTAGAATATTCTCTCTTTAAAGGCATCTTTCCTGTATTCACTCATACGAAGCTGGAGTTTGAGTCAGTAAAGGGTCCTACATATTTTTAAGAATCATTTTCATACTGGTTGGTCCATCAGTCAGTCAATCAATCAATCTCACACACACTGTTTCCTACCTACTCTTCACGCAGATTCCTAATAACCAGGGTCCAAGCTGTACCCACCCACAAACACACTTTTCTCTTTTGCTGAATAAAGATGACAGCATGAGGGTCTTCTGGACAACTTGGATGAGAAAATGCAGTTCTAGAAAACAGGATAAACTTTTTTGAATATAAGCTGAAAAAAACATATTTGAGGATCGGTTCAACTCTAAATGCTACTTCTTAAAAGTATGTGAGTTCAACCTAGGAAAGGCTTTGGCGGGGAGAACAATGATGAAAGGATTATCATCCAAGTTAAACAGCAACTGAGGCTAAAAACAAAACCAAAAAACTGCCAAGTGGCTTCCATTTAGTGAACGTGAAACCTTCTCGAAAACCTTAAACATCAACCAATGTTATCTGTAAATATTCCTAAATTTCTAAATGGGTATTATCTGGGCCTCAGTGCCCTTGTCAACAATGCACTACCAAAGGCCTGAATAGGGACCTTGATACCTGACACTTGACACTCAGGGCTGGGAGGAAGCCAGCATGAAATAGTGTGTCTCACACATACAACACACACACACTCTGCAGATGGTGACAGTGTGGTGTCACCAGCTTTCTGGCTCATTCTGCCAACAGGGAAGCACACAGAAAAGCTGATGAATAACAGCCAGGGTTTGCGTGTTTCTCTGGAAAATGCATGGAAAATGGGCTTCTGGCAGGAACAGAGGTGGGGGCAAGCAATGGTCAGGCGGTGTGACACAGAGCAAAAGTGCAGTGTAGGAGCCACGAAGACCCAACTTAGAGTCCCAGTGATGTCACCTGAACAAATGCAAACTCTCTGAACTTCAGTTTCCTTGTCTATAAAATGAGGTTATGAGTAATTACTTACAGGGTGAAGAACACCCTTATGAAACATTCGATAAATATTCTTTCCCTTTTGTTGATGAGACTGGCTCAACCCAGAAATAATTCCAAGATATGCTTAAGGTGTTTATGGAAACATTTACCTTGTTTTGGGCAAATAAAGATATTCCAAAATCCATTGCTATTACAAAAGACAGGAAAGGAGATATGGTTTCCTCCTAAATTCTAACAGAGAAACCATGGTAATGCAATCTGCACCAAAATAATTAGACAGCATTTTTTTAAAAAGGTACTGGGGACTGAGCCCAGAGCCTCTGCACTGACTTATTTCCCCCAACCCTTTTTATTTTGTGACAGGGTGTTGCCAAGTTACTTAATCGGCAGGCTGGGCTCAAAGTGGCAATCCTCTTGCCTCTGTCTCCTGAATAGCTGAGACTATATGTGTGCCCCACCATGCCCAGCTGGAACAATTTCACGCCACCTACAACAGAGGACCATTCATGCAGTTGACTTGTAAGACATCAAGAAAGAGTTCTAAGAATGATAATTCTGAAAAGAAATCTACAGAATTCTATGCTTACCTTAGCAGTAAGGAAAACATTAAAATGTTCATTGAAAGACAGCACGGGATGATCTGTAATTCTTTTCAGGAATTTATCCAAAGCTTTTCTTCTGGTCTCCACAAACTCTTCTGAAAAACGATCCACAACACCTTTCACCACAAACTTCTCAGGAAGTGGCTATGAAAACATGAAGAAAATTTCAGAGTAATTGGTGAAAAACTGCAAAGCAAAACCACCAGGCTAGCAAGAAATTCCTATCACATCTGTCCAAGAACAGTATTTCTTATTCAGCTATATCTTTATATAAGCTATATCTTTATATAATCACTGATTATGTAAAAAGTTTTGGATTATATAAAAAGTTGTGGAAATACAAATGGAGCAAATCACAACTACTGTCAATTCTATAATACAGAGACCTCTATAGCATAGTCCTTTGAACAAGAAAAGTTAAGATTTACCCAGTAAGTGTAATATAGTTATCGTTATACTGTTTAATATACAATGATAAGGAAGGAAGACAGACAATACCAACCACACAAAAACTTACTTAAATACTGAAGATTCTACTTCCAGTTCAAGGGGTAAAAGAACTTGGTGAATAAAAGAATAAGACGGTAAACAAACTCATACTGCTGAAAACTATCTTTGCCAAGGCAATACTTTTTACTTTAGACTTAAACACTCAAAATGTAATTTCTTTGGTTCTCATGCTCAAACAAACTTTTCTATCATACTTCTTTGCACCAACATTGTAGGCAATTTAAAACGACCTGCCCTACACAAAGGGATCTCTGAGCTTTACTCTGTTTCCCCAGCAGCTTACTCAAATGCTTGAATGAAAGGTCTTCTTCATGCTACTATCTCAGGGAAAATATTATATACAGTAAGCACAATTTCTAAATGTTTGCACTTTGAAATATTGATAACAAAATTTACATTTTAAAAAATGAGTAAATGATCTAATTGATACTTTTCCCAAGAATACATTCAGATGGTCAATACTCACATGAAAACAGGCTCAACATCATTAGTACAAACCAAAACCATAATGACATACCATTTTATAGTAGGATACCTGTAATTTCTTTAAAAAAGAAAAAGACTAGGGGTATAGCCCAGCGGTAGAGTACCTGCCTATTTACATACAAGGGTCTGGTTAGATCCCTAGAAATATCAAAGAATAAAGAAAAAAATTTTAAAGCGAAAAACAGAAGCGTTGGTGACAGAATGGACAATTGGAATTCTTATTGCTGCTGGGACTGTAAAATAGTATATCATAGTGAGAAAGGTTTGATATAGTTATCATAGCACCTAGCAGTTCCACTTGCAGATACATTCCTGAAAAAACTGGAAAAAGGTTTAGTAAGGAGTCACAGCAGCCCTATTCAAAATAAACAGAATACATATATCTATACACTGGGATTTAAAAGGGAATGAAGTACTGAAGCAGGGATATCATAGAAGAATCTTGAAAACAGGATGGAAGTGAAAGAATCCAGATATAAAATGTCATACATTATGATTCACTTTGGTGAAATGTCAGTGATGGACAAACCCGTAACACAGGAAATTAGTGGTTGCCAGGTCTAGAGAATGGAGAATGGGATTGGCTGCTTCATGGTTACAAAGTTCCCTTCTAAGGTGATACAATTTTTCCAAAACTTTTCAGAAGGTGATAATGGTTACAACACATTGTGAACATACTTGATGCCAGTGAACTGTAAACTTTAAAGTCATCAAAAAAAAGTACATTTTACTTTGTTGCCACCATTACAAAAAAGTATATTACAAATCTCTAAATCATAAAGCATAGCAATAATTCTCTGATCCATTAATCTCCTACTCAAGATGACAAACAGAACAAACACTACTGACAAAATTCCCTGTCAGCCAATCCCTGATCCGAAATCTAATTCTCCCTGTCCTCTCTGAGGGAAGCATAATCCCAAACCTTTTGTTCACTGTTCCTATATTTTATAGTATGTCTTACTTGTTTTTAAGCTTCACAAAAATACAGCTACACTTTGCTTTTGTCATTCAACACTGTCTTTCCAGGACTCATTTCTATTGATATATGCTAAGCTGCAAGAGAATCATTTTATAGTTGCATAGTTTTTCATAAATATCTGAATATATAACAATCTGTCCATCTACTCTCCTGACCAATCACATGCGAATGCTTTATAGATTTCTAAGACTATTAACAATGCTGGTGTGAACACGTACGATGTGTCTGGGTACATATGCAAGTCCCTAGAGGGAATAAATCATGCCAAGGACAGTCAAGTCAGAGTATGTGCTTTCTTAATTCTATGAGGATAACTGCATGGTTTTTTTTAATATGTTCATTAGTAAGATAATATATTTTTCTAATGTTAAACCGACCTAGCAGTTTAAGGTCAAAGTGTTAGGAGATTAAATACAACCATTTAGATTCAAAATACCTTGAAACTCCATAAAATGATAAGAGTTATAACTTAAAAGTTATAAACCCTCGAGGACAAAAGAGACCAAAAACTGAAACAAGGACTAGTGTACTTAGCAACCCTAACAAGTGGAATAGTCTAGCACTTTGCATGGGAACCTAAGGATGTCTCAGTTCTGAAGCGTAAGGACTCTGCTGCCACTTTTCTGGTTCATTTTCTTACTGTGTCACTTACCAGCTGTTTGTCTCTGGTCAAGTTCCATAATTTCTTGGTATCTCAGTTTCTCCACAGCAAAACCAATATATAGATAACCATGGTGCCAACCGCAGAGGGTTGTGGTATGAGGATTAAAATGAGCTAACACGCTAAAAGCACTTTGATTCCTACCACAGAGGAAACACTCACTGAAAGTCTGGGTTTGCAGCAGGGACAGAGTTTCAGGGTTCTCTCAATCTCCGGGGACCTCTGGTGTTCATCTCAAGGTTTACCTTGAGATCATGGGAGCACTCAGAGGAGAAGCTAAGAAGCAGCGGGGGGGTGGGGGGTGTCTTTACAACAAAGCAGGTGTTCTACAGAGCACAGCGGAAGGTCTGCAAATGAAAGACAGGGCAAGTCCATGGGACAGAATGACAGACCCCACGGGAATGCATGTCCATGTCTAACACCCATGGAACTTAGACTACGGTAGAACCTAGAAATACAACACTCTGTCAGATGTTCTGGCCCAGGCAGAGCAGCTGTCTGAACAGAATATGGTTATCCTTTAGGATAATTCCTTTATTCTAGCCAGTCCTCCCATTCTTCTAGGCATCCATTCTCATCCCACTTACCACACTAAGCGGATTACTATTTCTCTGAAAGGAGACAGGTCAGAAGCATTAAGTAGTGATTTTCTGAGCATTTTGCTTCATCCACAGAAACTCATCTACTGGGTACCACCCTCATCTCCACTCATGTCTGCAAAGATACTTTCTCCAAAGCTAACATGTATTCCACCCATATCCTTGACCCATTAGTTCACCAAAGTGCACCTGCTGGCATCAATTAACAGTGCCTTCTCTTCCCTGTATCTTCAGTGTCCCCTGAACATCCACCTCTACTCTTAGAGTCTACCAAAATATGATTGGTTGACTACATGGAAAAAGAAACCCAGCCACCGCTTGTCCTTACATCTCTTCAACTTTCTTTTGTCTCATTTAATTTTTTTTTTGAAAGAATCACTTGACTTCCATTTTTTCCACTGATCTCTCAGCCAACAACTTCCCCCACTCCAAAACAAGATGGGTTCTAGTACTGCTTTTGAGGCAGTTTGTCTGCCCTATCCCCACCTAACGCAGAAACTGCTCCTTGAGATGATTACCAACTAATGACACTGTGATTACCAAACCAGCGGCTGTTTTTCTGTTCTTACCTCATGAGTCTGCTGGGAAAATTGACATTTACTTTTGCTAAGTAGGATTTAGGAGGCAGTTTGACCTGTAACTGGTTAGGTGTGCCTTGTCTAACAAAACAGATAACCTTACCAAATAGCTGCCCTTCAGATTTAGCATACTGAATGTGCTATTCAAAGGAAACTTAGAGTGAATCCTCCAAACAGAACTTACTTATGTAATAAGAATTATTATTCCCAAATGTGCATTGCTTTGGAAATTTCTTTCTTCCTCTTTCAAGCTTTTTTAATGGGACACTTACGGTCAGCCTCACCTTTTATTATTTTCTGGGTTGTTTACGCAAAAGATTTGGGTTGCTGGTGAAATCAAGGGCAATGAGAGCCTATCCTGAAGGGTTCAACACAATTCTAAGCACACAGTAGATGTTATCTTGGTTACTTCTCTCTCATTGCTGGGACAAAATATCAACATTCAAAATGAAGGAGAAAGGCTTATTTAGCTTATAGTTTTTGGAGGTTTCACTCCAGCTGGCTGCAAGGCAGGGTGGCATGGCACCGGGCAACACTGCAAGGCAGCAGCCATAGCCAAAGTAGGGAGAACAAGTCTTCTTCTCCTTTATACTGTACACAGGTCACTCCCCCTGCCCAGGGCAGGTTCAGCACTCACAAAATCTCCTTGTTCTCCTCTTGACAGGATGAGAATGTAAAAAAAGTAAGAACCCTGCTGAGTCTCCTAGTTAAACTTCTAAACTCAAGATGACACAATGTATCAACCTGTTAACAATGTATGTTAACATGCTAGGCATTTATAGCAATCTGTAAACACCAAGAACAAAATGCAAAAGGGGAAGTGGACTTGGGGTCGAACTTCATATATCTTGTAGGCAATAAGACCTTTTAAGTCATCTAGGCCACCACTTCATATGTACAAGGATGATTTTTTTTTTGTCTTTTTTGTTTCTATCGGTACTGGGGATTGAACTCACGACTGCCTGCTTGCAAGGCAGGCGCTTATGACGCTGAGCTAAATCCCCAGGCCCTACAAGGATGATTATTAAAACATGGAAAATAAGTGTTGGTAAATACCTTAAAAAATGTATTTTCATACACTGCTGGTGTGAACAGAGAACAGTACAGCCACTGTGAAAAACAGTTGGGCAGCTCCTAAAATGGTTAAACCAGAATAGCAATTCCATTTCTAGGTGTAAGGAAAAGACAGAGACAGATTCTCCCCTACAGACTACTATAGGAATGTAGCCTGGCCTTCGCCTCAGTATTATTCCAATAAGACTGATTTTGAACACCTGACCTCAGCTTTAAGAGAATAAGTATGTGTTGTTTAAACTTTTTAAAAAATA